AGGCTGGTACTGGCATTCAGTGGGTAGAGGCCAGGGATCCTGCAGTACACAGGATGTTGTCCCACAACAAAGAATTATCCCTTCCCAAATGCCAATAGTGCCGAGATTGAGAGACTCTGTCCCAGAGCAAGAAATCTGTACTTTCTGATATTTTGTGACCATTTGATTCATTTACATGAAGGAACTGAAACACCTTGGGTTAAAACACCAGTTTGGGATTTGGGACATTAATCTAGGTTAATAAGAGTCTGTGTAAAAGGTACTTAGCCTCTGTATGCCTCAGTTTCCTTACTTCCCAAAGTGTAATAAGGATGACTTCCTACTTCAAAGGGGTTAAATGAACCTCCATGAGTGCTAATTAACTATTAGCTTCTCAGTAAAATGTTTTATAGAAATTGTGGTTCAATTTTTATTACTATAAGTAGATCTTCATTTGTAATCAAGTAGCATGACTTCAGAAAATTAAAATGTTAAAAAACATTTTTCCAAATTTGGTTTAAGATTTTTCAATTCAAAGATGATGCTATTAAGCTCCACAATCTAATGCTTTGAACACCTGTTTTCAGTTTTTTCATTTTCCCTCGATAACGGGGAAACAGTGCTTAGCCAAGAAGCACCATATCGAGTACTCAAAACAAGTTCTTTGGGGGGAACACACCTTGCAACTAGTTATTAGTGTGTGAATATGGTCAGTTCCTCAGTCTCTCCAGGCTCAAGTTTTCATTATCTTAAAACGAGGAGAATTATGCTCATGTCACATGATTATGATTAAAATTAGTTAATATGTATAAAGCACCTGTACACCGTGGGTGCTTAATAAGTGGTATTTTCTTTTCCTTCCTCTGTGCTTTCCTAAGATCTAGTCTAGAGACAATCACATTCTGGCTTGCAGGTAATGGGCAGGCATTAGCAAGCCAATAGTTTCAACCTCTTCCCCTACAAGGTGTTTCATAAAAGCTGCTCAAACATTACAAAGTTTGCCTGATAAAAATTCCTTTTTACTTCTTCCATCCCTTCTCTTCCCAAGCCAAGAATGAATATTAGAACAGCCAGGATGTAGGCTATTAGAGGGAGGATGGGAATCACAGTGGAGAAGCAGCCACAGAGTTACCAAGAACATCAGCATGGATCAACAATTCTTTTGAAGTTAATTATTTTCAGTGGGCACCAGGAAAAGGTTTACATGGAAGATACATTATGAAAATTGTGGTCTACAATGGTATTTTCAATGAGCCATGTGAGTCCTGCATATCTTAGTTTGGGGATCCTGCAGATCATCTTAGAGTTTGACCTTGGACTAGAGAATACTCAAGCTTGTGAATGAGCTACACTTCAGTGTGTGTTCTTTGAGGTCTGCAGGGCAGGGTTCATTTTCATCTCTGTTAAGTCTTCCTGCGACCTTGGGATAATCTTTTGAGCCGAATTTCCTTATTGCCCTCACGTGATTGTGTTTTGTAGTTTAAATGAGACAACACATGTGAAAGAACCTAGCGTAGCACCTGAAATTTAGGCTCATAGCCAAATCTAAATCTTTAGGCAAACCGCCCATGGATTTCAGTGTTATTAAATAATTTCTATTTACAACAAAGGATCTTCCAAATGTATTTGATAAAAAACTTGTTCCCCAAGCTTTTCTGGAGAGGAGATGGGGAATGGCAGTTCCATAGCCTGGTTAGGTTGAAATCTGCTACATAATGATACCCCTCTCTCAGGGATTCCAATCCATGCAAACATCTTGATGATTCTGGAATGTGGTGCAGTTAAATTAAACAAACATGGAAACTAGTCAGCTGGCAATAACTTGATTAATTTCTCCTAAAACAACATTGCCCTATATTTGTAAAATAAAATCTCGACTGATCCTTCAGGACTGACACTACATAGAAATACTACAATAGCATAACACAGCATTTGGCTTATTGATTAATAATCATATGACTGTACAGACTGTGAATCACCTCAGAATCAATTTCTAATTAGAGGTGAACTTTCAAATCCAGCAAATGTTTCCAGAATACTTCTTTAGTCAACTGAATTAACACGAACACCCACACGAATTAACAACGATAGTAAGCATCACCCCAAGTCGCATATGTTAAGGACTTGAAGTACACAAGAGACTTTCATATATTTTATCTCACTTGTTTCCTCTAAATTGTGGTATTGTCCTGTTTTACAGAAGGTAACTAGGTGAATGGAAGAACTAGAACTCGAATTCTGTCCTTCAGCTCCAAGTCCAGTGGTTTATTATCTATTATCTATACCATAATTCCCAGGGATACTTATAATTCATATTTAAAAATGAAAATAACCTCGACAGGTAAGAATTCTTTCCTTTCTTGCTGCCTGGCCAACCAATGTCTGCAGAGAAAGAAGGGCAAGGGCAATAAACCTCCTGTTGGATTCCCTTAGTCATCTTAGCAGTTGTTAAAAGTGGGCAAGAAGTTTGTTAGTTAGCACAGTGGGAAAACCGTGCACTCTTAAGCCACACTTCCTGGGCTGAATTCCAGCTCCCTCATTCATTAACTGCATTAAGCTGGGAAAAGTCACTTCCCGGCTCTATGCCACAGTTTTCTCATCTGTATGTTGGATTATAATGGTACCTAGCTCAGGTGGTTATGGTTATTGAATGAATAGCATGAAATAGAGAAAAAAAATTACAAATGCCTATGACTTACATTGTACATATAGCTAGGCTCTTGCTGGTTGTCTTGAGAAGATAAACCACTATTCAGAACATTGTTTCTTATCAGAAAAATGTGCACCAACTTCTAGGAAATATTGACTTAAAAATGAGATTGGGGAGGCCCCAAATATTCCAGTAAAAAATTGTAAAGATAAATACTGAGTTCTACCTCCTTCTGCCCACTCTAAAGAAAATAACCTAAAGTGCGTCAGAATCAAATCAAAGTTATTTCTGTATTTCTCCTGGGTAGACGTATATTGTAGCATTGGTTCCAATCATTTAGATTTGAATTAGAAGCATCTTCAGCATAGGTACATGAAAACTGATGCCCAGCACAAGCAGGAGACTCTTTAAAAGAGCCTCAATTAAGATTATCATTGCACTAAGTAGATTCTGCTGATTCTCACATGACTTTTAGGGTTATTTTAAAACATAAATCATCCTCAAGAAGCAATGTCCTTGGTAACAACAAGGAATAAAAAGGGCACATGGGTGAAGCAATATCAATCTACTGCCACTGCTAGGGAAAAAAGATTACTATCTACATTATATTCACATGTGGAGGACAAGAGGTCAGCAATTGGTCAGTGACAAGTCTGAATTGATATTATGTTTTTTGAGTTAAACTATTTAAAAAAATGTTAAAATCAAATAATGCCAATTTATCATTTTGGGAATAGAATTTTTTAAAAACTTTTCTTAAGAATTACAGGATTTATTTGGAGTTGCAAATAGTTGGTATGCTTTCTTTAAAGGATGTGATACTTGTGGAGATCTCTTGGCCTACACCTGTAATCCCAGCTATTCAGAAGGTAGAGTAGGAGGTTAACAAGTTCAAGGTCCAGCCTGGGCAATTTAGGGAGAACATGTCTCAACCTAAAAAAAAGAGATGGGGATGTAGTTTAGTGGTAAAACCCCCAGTAGCTATATATATATATATGTATATGTGTGTATATATATGTATATATATGTGTATACATATATATATACATACATACACATACATACATACACACACATACATACATATATGCACACACACATATGAAATTTATATAGAATATATATAATGATATGAGGAATCCTTTCTCTTAGGCAAAGGCATTTAATGGGGAGGGGGTCATTCATTTTAGTTTTATAACTTAAGGAATATATTTTAATTTCAGAGGCCAGGTCTTGCTTGTTCACACCTATTTCCCAGCTTTATATGTGCCTGGCATATACTAGCCACTTTAAAAAAGTCTGTGGAGTCTATAAATCTGGGTGAGGAACTGTACTTTATCAGGGAAATGGAGGTGGGACTATGGGAACGCAGTTAAGGGCACCAATTTTTCCTACCAATGACTATAGAGACCTCTGCTGGCAAATGTTGGAACTGCAATTCAGGATGGGGAAGAAAAAGAACGAAAAGTGAGAAGGGTTTCTCAGTTTTCTTCTCCTCCTTTGATCATATTTTATTATAAAGGGACTATAGAAGAACTGTACTCATGTGTAGTTAAGTACGTCTAAGATATGATGAATATTAAAACAAGAATGAATAACAACTTTTCTTCGAGGTATCTGGGAAAGGCATCAAATAAAACAGGAAAAATCACACCCAAGAAGTAAACTGACCATTTTATGACCATGTGCCAGTTAATCAATCATTCAAGGTCTATATTCCAGAGAAATCTATAGTAGGAAACCAGTCTGTGAAATTACTATAGCCTATTAATCTTGCTAATTCTGAGAACTTGTTATTCTTAGCATTGTACATTTTATATACTTCCAAATGTCACTTTATACCCAAGACTATCTTCCTCCTCACTATCTTACCTGTAGTAGACTTATTAACTTGTGAAGGCAGTTTAAAGTATTGGTTTGGTTTCATTTTGGGTGAGACAAGATGTTTGGCCAACCCTTCTTCAGTGCTTCATTCTTCCCTGTCGTAGATATTTTAGGCGACTATAGTTACTAAAATGGTCCTAGAGTGACCTCTGGCTGCAGGTTTACACATGAGCCAGCAAGCTCAGCCCTGGATACCAGCGAACTGGCAGGACAGTACCTCTGTGTGTGGAAGTGTTGTGCATTTCCACACACAACATGAATGACACTGTACAACTTGCCTTTAATGTTTCCATACTCTGTGAAGTTATTAGCTTTCCATTACTAGGCAGTAATCAAAACAAATTTCCTTCTCCAAAATTCTATGAGCTTATGAAATGGTCTATCAATTTATGTTCTTGGATTGTGTTTGAAAAGATCATTTCACTTTTTTAATAAGATACATTTTGGATATTTCAAGCAGGACTGTTGAATAATCAAAAGAATTTACATTTGAGGAGTGGCAGAGTTCCCTGTGGGGTCCATGATTTGAAATTCCACGATATCTGAATTTACTTCCAAAGATGGGTTTATGATGTAAAGAATGGTCTTACTGTATAAGTCCTTTTGGCTAAATTTCTCATGGATAAATTCACCTACAAAAAAAGAAATCAATAAATCTCATGGATAATCATCAAAACATTACATTAGAGCTGATAAAACTGTATGACTATTTTATTTGAAACACAGCTTCAGAGATTAGCCAAAGTACATTGAAAAAAAATAAGTAACATTGCTGCAACCTATCTTAAAATTCAAATGCAATGAACCCAAATTAAGCTTTACATTTACTATTCTCCAGAAATATTTGCCTTTAAAAATATAAAAATATTGGGAAGGGTAGCAGGAAGATGTAGTAACAAATATCTATAATTCTGAAGCATCCTGTTTAGTTATATATTATGATCATTGTCTTCATAAAGTAGAAATAATATACAATACAGAAAAACTGTTAGGAAACTCATTTTTTTAAAGAACACGTATCATTTAGAATTCATGATAGAATTAAACATTAGTTACAAATATGAATCTGGCCCTGGCACTGTGGGTTCTTCTGAATATATTACAGTCTGGCTGTTAAAAAAATAACTATAAACAGCAAACAGCTGTATATCAGTTTTTGATTCTCCTGTCAAGGTGAATTTAACTTGAAACCCTCTTTAGCACCAATATTGATTTATAAGCTGTACGTATCAGTAAGCCCTGGAGAGTGTTTACCAAACAGACCTGCCCTTAATTAAATTACTCTCCAGTCCTGCCAGCCACTGGGTATTTCAAAATGGGCAGTTAAAAGGATTAAGGAAGCCAGTACCTGTTGTTGTGTTCTCCAAATGTCCGTGTAGTGGGCCTCGTAAAATCTTAAAGATTATCTGATGGTCCTCGGTGTCAGGGTCCGATGCCTTCAACACTCGAGAAGTGATGTAAATCCCGTAACAGCCGTTTTTCAGGAGTCCAACTTGTGAAGGGGAACGCAAGAGTGTGATCCGAGGGGCTATTTTATCCAAATGCTCCACCTGAATCATCAATAATTATGTACAATGTTATCCAAAAAGGTTTCTCACCCCATGGGCTGTAGGGCTTTCGTGGTCCAACAATGACAAACTCAAATTTCAGATTGCTCATACTCATTTGTTGATTTCTGCTAAAGACTATAGTTCACAATATCCTCAGTGAATACCACAGTGTCTGGAACAAAAGCCAAGTTTCTGCCAAGCTAAGTTTGTCTAATGTCTGACTCTCCCACAGGATGTAAGTTGCATGAGGGCAAAACACCATGGCTCAAGGCCTGGGCCATACCAAAGCCCAGGGAATATTCATTGAACAAATACAAGAATTACATTGCTTACTTAATATTAGTACAACAAAAGGATTTCCATATTTTTTCGGTGTTCAATGATTTATAGAAACAGTTATAAAAGTTCAAGAATACATAGATTTTTTTAAACATGCTTTTGTTCAAATGGTGAAAATGTTGAATAAAAATAGAAATGCCATAGAATTGGTATGGTTTGGATGTGAGGTGTTCCCCAAAAGTTCATGTGTGGGACGATGCAAAAAGGTTTAGAGGAACAATAATTGGGTTATGAGAGCCTTAACCCAATCAGTGAATTAATCCCCTGACGGGATTAACCAAGTGGTGACTGGTGGTGGGAAGGGTGCAGATGGGGGAGGTAAGTCATTGGAGGTGTGCCTTTTGGGTACATATTTTGTTATCTGGAATGGAGTCTCTCTCTCTCTGCTGCCTGTTCATCATGTGAGCCATTTTCCTCCACTACACTCTTCCGCCTCACCTTGAGCCCCAAGGAATGCAACCAGCTGTCTATAGACTAAGACCTCTGAAACCATGAGCCCCCAAATAAACTTTTCCTCCTCTACAATTGTTCTAGTTAGGTCTTTTAGTCACAGCAGCAAAACAACTGACTAAAACAATAAGAAAATTGTGAAAGTGATTTTTTTCATACTTGTTTCATTGAGAATGAGGACCACGTGACACAAAGTAGCTTGGTTTTGTGAGGACGTGGAAGGGCGATCCATCATGAGTGGGAACAGGAGCATGTGTTCTAACTCTACAAAGGACTTCGTCCAGGTGTGGTGGTATGGAGCTCAGTCCATCTTGCAAATGACCGTGGTCGTTAAGGATGAACAGGTTTGGATAAATTAATACAAATTCAACATCAGTACTAGAAAATGGGTACAAGAGTACTACCATCATTCAACCCACTCCTAATCTCACAATTCCTGATTTTTTTTACCCCCAAATGATACTACCATAAACCTTAGTTCACCCTAGTGAACCAAAGAATTCATGTCAATGGTAACATCCTACATAATCTTGTATATTATGATAAGATGAATAAGTAATAATAAGTTATTTTTCAGTTTTTGAGAGAAGCTCCCACCCCCATGATGGCCAGTAAGAGAGATGGCTCATGGACAGAGTGCCATGTAAGAAATCCTCGAAGACAATCAAGAGCTGAATGTAGGATGGTTGTTTTAATTTTTTTGATGTCACATTTTCTTTAAAAGCAAGTATTAAAAATGTAATCAATGCTTGTTGTAGTGTTTTGTTTAAAAAATAATAATATCTGAACTTTAGTTACATGGTCTCCTGTTGTGCCTCTGGGCATTCTCAGGCTCAAATATACCCTAGTCTTATTAAACTTCTGGCTTCTTCAAAAGCAGGTCTTCTGGATCAGTATACCAGAAGCATTTTTAAATGCTGGAGGGCAAGACTTTTAAAACAGGCTACATCCCATGATAACTTGTGTTGGATTTATGAAAATCATCCCACCTATGCCAGAACCATAGACCACAAGGCAGGCTCCTTTCTCCTTTACCCCAAACCCTGTCCCCCTCTATAAGAGGACTACAGGTTGCATCAATATTGGTTGATGGATATGATGAATGTTAGGTTATGCCTGATGGTATCAGTCAAGTCCACCTGTGGTTTGCATGTATTCTTGCCCTCCATTACTCAGGTACCACCATAAAAGTTGTTCACTCATGCTTAGTAGATTTATTTGGACTAATTCATCACTCAGTAGCAGTTGAGTTCATATTGTCTCAGCAGAAAGAACTCTTAGAGGCAGCAGACAAGGGTGCCATCTTTCCTACACTGCTGAAAGGGCCAGTCACTTCCTAACTGCGTTACCACTACTCAGAGAGACCAGGAGCTTCATAGGCATTTGGGAACAAAGTATGAGGCTCTTCTCATGAGGCTTTTACACATAATAATACTGTTTTTTCAAGGAAAACCTTGTTCTTTTGATGGAAAATAAGCCTTACAACATATATCCAATATTTTTCTATCAGTAATCCACAACTTCCAAGAGATAACTCTATTATAGCAAGGTCCTTAAAATAAGTTGCTGGTGTTGGGAGAGACCTGATTTAAGTTCTGGTACATTCCTCAAACTCTACCCCCCTTTTCTATCTATTCTCTGAACTATAGGAAGTAACTCTTATGTCTGCACACAGAATTTATAACTCTTATAAAATCTGCAGCCAAACAGACCATAAAATTATTCACTGTTGCAGGTGACACTTCTCAAACTGGAGTGGAAAGTGAGAAATCAAGAAAAAGATACTAATGACCCAAAGAGTGGGAAGAGACTAATAACAATTAAGACATTAATTTAAAAATAAACGAAAGCAATGGCTTTTAAAAGTACAACTTACTTCTCACATATTGTATCAGTGACATCAAAACCTTCTCTTCTTTCCCAATACATCATAATCTCCTTACATTTCCCAGACCTCCCTCATGCCAAAGACAATCTAGTACCTACTCGATGTTATCATGATTCCCTGCCTTAGATAGAGACTGTGAAGGTTAATTGTATGTGTCAACACGGCTAGGCTCTGCTTTAGAGGCAATTAATGTTTTAATCAGTAGACTTTTGAGTAAAGCAGATTGCTCTCTGTAGTGTGAGTGGGCCTCATCCAATCCATTGCAGGCCTTACAAGAAAAGACCAAGTTCCTGCAAAGAGGAAGGAACTTGTCCAAGAGCACCCTTGGACTCAAGGCTGCAACATCATCTCCTGCTAGAATTTTTATCAGCCATCCTGCTCTAGGTATCTTGGATATGCCAGGCTCTGCAGTAGCATGAACCAGTTCTTTAAAGGAGATCAACCTCTCTCTGTGTCTCTCTCAGACTTTCTACATGTATCTATATTATCTCTATACCCATAGATAAAGGTATAGATATGTGCATACTGTGTATCATTTATATACATACACACAAACACACACAGTGTATTCTGTGTTTTTATGGAAAATTCTAACTAACATAGAGACAAAAGAGCAAGGAAAAATGATTATTTTACTAGTCAGAGAGTACTCTGAACAAAGAGGCAAAATTATATATATTTTGCCATTGGTGAAAGTGTCTAGAAAGGAGTGAACTCCACCCAAGGAGGGTAGATTCCAGGGTTGCAGAGCCAGAACATACTTGATGTGCTTTGATTAAAATAAGAAAAAACACATTTTACCCTTCAGGAATTATTGTAAAAGTCAACAAAAGTGGAGGTATAGTGCCAGAGAAAGAACACAGAATTGGGGATCAGAAAGACTTGAGGTCTTTGTATGTATTGGATCAAATTATTGAACTTCTGAACCTCAGTTTCTTCATCTCTAAAATGTAGATAACAAAGCATACTTCATAGGACTTTTATGATAACCAAATGAGATTCATGTGAAGTGGGTCTGATCTTCAGTTAACAATAATTGTAGCTGCTGCTATTATTATCTTCGTTATTGTTGTACAGGTAATAGCAATTCTGTCTTGTAAGTTTTCATATGTTTAGTTGAAAACAGAAGGCTGGGGATATAGCTCAGAAGTAGAGGGCATGCTTAGCGCACATCAGGCACTGGATTTGATCCTCACTACACATTTGCACATGTGTGCCTGTGCAAGCACACACATACACACACACATACACACACACAGGAAAACTGTAAAATGCCAGTAGATGATACGGACCAATAAGCATCGTAATAATAGCATAGTTATTCATGTCTTATAACTGAATATCAAATATGTTTCAGGCAACATGCTAGTTCCTTGGACACCGAATCTTATTTAATTCCTATCACAGTGCCGAAGGCATGTTTTTCAAGGAAGGAAAGGTAGATCCAAGAGAGCTAAAGAATCTTTAAAAGTCACACAACAAATAAGTGACAAAGCAGGAATTCAAACCTAAGTTTGTCTGACTCTGAGGTTCATGTTTTCGTTCCTTTCTATACTACTGCCCACTCCTAAGGCCAGTCCCTAGGCCATATACAGGGACCGCATTGTTTTAGTCACATTAATGTGCCTGGCATGCTGTAGATGCACAATCCATATCTGACTGGAAATGGGAAGGAAATAAGGAAATAAATGTTGAAGCTACTTTCCTCATATCCCTGCCTGGGACTGCACAATTGCCATACTTACCTGAATGGTGAATGGAATAGGCTCTTCTCGCACCCTCCCATCCACAACAAAGCCTTGGTTTGTCCTATCTGTGGCCATGAAAGTGAAGTGGTCAATCTGGGAGCTGCCTCCAGAGTGCTGATAGGCCACATTCCCGCTGTCCACATCCCACTGAGTGAAGTTGTGTCGAAGCAGTACAGTTCCCCGCAGGTAGAGCTGGCCATGCTGTGGGAGCTGGATCAGGAGGAAGGTGAGGTTTTCGGCAGGAGTGTCAGGGTCAGTCAGCTGGAGGAGGTCAGGAGAAAGCAGGCCCATGGCCCCCTCGGCCAGCCTCATCCCCTTGTTCCTGGTGACCACAGGCAAGGCTCTGTCTACAGTCTCCAGTGTGATCTCAAACACCCCGTGCTTGGTCCACAGTCCGTTGCTGACGATGAATCTGGCAAAGAGAGGCAAGGCAGCCTTCAGCATGGATTCTTGTGTCACCATCTACTGGAATGAAATGATAATAATACACACCTTTACTAAAAGATATGTCGTATTGTGACTCATAAGAAAAATCAAGGACAGATCTTTCAGAAGATGCCTTTCTATCATTAAACCAGTCGCTGGGTAACACATAAATTGACCATTCTACGACCAAGTGTATTTTCTCAGAAACTTTGGTGATAGATTCTTGGGATGGAAGAGGTAGGCTTGTCACTACTTAGTGTTATTCCTTGTCCCAAACAGGAATTATACACATACAACTAGACCCATTATAGGAGTTTTAAGGGTATACTCACTTTATGTAATTAAAATTTTGCAATTGTACTTTTTCTTGGAAATGTTAATAACCTAAATTTTTAAGACTGAGAGTTGGGGAACCAATATAATGAAGAGCTGAATAGACGGAAATTGCTTAACTCATTCTATTTGTGTTTTCTTGGTAAATCTCCTAAAAGAAGAGCACATTAATCAGACATGTAATCTTACCTAACTCATATCCCCTTTCTGGTTCTCATTTTCCCTCTTCCATAAATTTCATGGAATGAATCAGATGATCACCAAGTACCATTCAACTCAACAATAATATGAGAGGTGATTGTTTCTTATGGTTTGAATGCTCTTTTTAAAATGTGTAGAAATCAGAAAAAGAATGTGTAGGAGTCAGAGTAGACAAGGATTTTTTCCCTGATTAAAAGAAAGATTCAGAAATTTTGTGGGAAATCATGAGGAAGGTAGGAGATGGACTGGGACTTGAACTCAGATGTTTTGATCAACACCCTTTGCTCTCATAGAGTTTCTAATAAATGCTGGTTTAGTAATCTACCAAGAAAGAGTTGTGGCACCTGAGAACAAATACAAAATTATAATAAGAAAGCTGAAAGGATACACATTCAAGGTAAGTCAATCCTCTTATAATCTTGGTCTTGTGATACCGTAATGTGCTTTTGTGTATTTTGATCACTAAAACATACCCTACCCACTGCAATCAGCCTCACAATCATACTAATTTAAATGATCTTTATAACATTTCAATGTAGTATTTAAATTTCAAAGAAAATCGAGTACCATAAAATTATACAAACAAACCACAATATTAAAACTCCAAAAAGTTAGGAAATCAGTACTATCAGATGAGATTGACAAATGTACCATAGACCAAAGAAATGTATTTAGAATTAATCACAGACCTGTATGTTGTTATGGTTTGGATCTAAAATGTCTCCCAAAGAGGTTGGACTTGGGGGCTCTGACTTCATCAGTGGATTAATGGATTACTGGAAGGTGAGACCTTATTGGAGGAAGTAGGTCACTGGGGATGTGCTGAGGAAGGGCTTCTCTCTCTCTCTCTCTCTCTCTCTCTCTCTCTCTCTCTCTCTCTCTCTCCTATCCTGAACTGGGCAGCTTTCCTCTGGCCGTGTCCTGCCATGATGTCATGCCTCACCTCAGGACCAGAGCGATGGGATCATCTGACCATGGACTGATCCTAGAATAAACCTTTCCTCCTTCAAGTTGTTCTTGTCAAGTATTTTGGTCACAGAAATGACAAGCTGACTAACACATACATCTTATTAGTTTTTCCTCCATGTACAATAGTTAGAAATATTCATGAAGGAAGGATACCCTCTTATGTTTACTCATGTAAAAATCTTTTAAAATATTGTACTATAATATAACATTAAATTATATAAAACTGTCTTTAGCCGGTTTTTTTTTTTTAACTAGAGAAGGCGTGGGTTATATTTGTTTTACTAACCTGGCAAATATGACTAACAAATTATTCTTTGCAATTATGTCTCACCTTCAGAGTTTGAGGTTTGTTGCTTTAATATATATATATATATATATATATATATATATATATATATATATATATATATGACTTTTATTTTTATCTGATGAACCTCTATTTTTATTTATTAATTGATATGCCGTGCTGAGAATCAAACCCAGTGCCTCACACATGCTAGGCAAGTGCTCTACTACTGAGCCACAACCTCGCCCTGTTGTTTTACTTTTGACCATGATGGAACCTGAAACCAAACCAGGAGAGCACAGCAAGTCACCCAGCCTCCTGTATAGGAGTCCAGGAGAAGAACAATTCGATGAAAAGTAAAGAGAGAGGAGGCTGGCTGAGTACAGATTTTGCTTTGAAGGCTAGGCTAAAGTTTTTGAGCTTTTAAATTATCTAGTTACTAAGACTGCTTATAAGGAAAACATGTGATACATAGAAAAAGGAATGTGATCTTTTTTTTTCCTTTTTTATTTATAGCATCATTTTTGTATAGTTTGAATAAAGCTATTTAATACCCTCAGAATTTTAGACTGAGCCAAATTAGTTTCCTTAAAACAAATCAATCAGTTTTCCTTTTGTAAAGCTAAAGCTTTGATTAATATTGCCTAAGCAAATTGTTCAATTTTGTTACTGGAGTAAGAGGTATTTATAAAATTAATTTTTTACAAAAACAAAAAGTGCACCTAGAAAACATCTGTGTGTTCTTGAAATTTCTTACTTGAATCACCCTGACAATCTCAAAGATATGCATGTCTAGGGATAAAAATGATGCTCTTTTTCACAGCCTTTCATGGAGTGGCTGCCTTGATTCTATTTTTTTCCTATTACTTTTTCATGTTCTCCTTTCCCCCTACATCTTTTCATCTGATCCAAGACAAGAAGGTGGCTAGGCATCTCCTCAGTGATTCCAAATTCTTCTTTTCCATTTTCCTCCTCCTGAAATGTGTTTTACACCTCCTGTTTCACAAATAAAATGGCTCTATATTCCCTACCACATCCCTATGTCAAACGTATCCTTGTAGAGAGTTTTAAACCAGCCACTGATAAGGTCTAGCACCAGTGGCGCCAAAGGACTTGCATTTTTTAGTATTGGCATTAACTGTGGGGTTAAAGACTTTGTGCCCCCATTAAAAGTGTGTCAAATGTCAGCAGAGAAGGAAGGAGAAGAAAGGGTAAAGGGTGGAAAGACAGACAGGGAAATTCAACGTGAGCTCAGGTGAACACCAGGGCTCCATCCAAGGTGGCCATTTTTAATATCTAACTCTGACTTCCCTCTCTGGAGACTTGGTTCTGAAAATGTCCTTTTGGGATGGGGTCCTCAAAGTTCTGTGACAGCACCACTGCATTTACTTTATGTGTGTGTGTGATTTCTATGAGGGCACTGAAGTTGTCTTATGACCCTGGCTGTCCACCTCAAACTCCTCTCTTCCTGATGACTGGGATGTGACCACATTGGAAATAGGCAGCCTGCCATCAGACAGATGGGAATGAGGGCAAACAGGCCAGGGACCCTGGAAGGGTAAGAAAGATGTTTACTGAGGCCAGTGCTCCCAGCTGGGACGCCAAGGCAGCTGTCTGCACTGACCTAAAGCTAATAAGCCAGGGGTGAAAAGGATGCAATTTCTAAACATGACTGGATCAAATACATCATTCCACTTTCATGAGTAACAATGCAAACTACTCCCAGGCAGAGAGACATTATCAGAGAGAGAGACAGAGTGAATGGTTATGGTTGGCTTCCCAGTCAAAATGAAGCTAGCGGAGCAAGTGAAACAAGGTCAGTACTGCTGCTGTCTGCAGCAGTCAACCAGATGATCTTCTAAAAGCTGCACCCCCATCCAGTAAAAATCTTGTAAACATATTCTCAAGATTTAAAGCTGTGTTGGAACCCACTCTGAGGTGAGGACACTGGTAATAAGGAGGTGGCAGCTCCTTCTGTGGGTCTGTTTTGTTTAATTCCCTTATTGCAAACCCCCCAACCCCCACCGCCACCAACAGAGGGATGCAGCCAAGATGACCACCATTCTCATGAAATTTGGGGGATGACTCTCAGATTTGTCTGGGGTGTCTGCCTGGTCTGATTTCACCATTGCCACGGTGCTTTCAAGCTTTCTGCATTTCCTGGCATTAGAGTTGGCTGAAGAATCTGCCATCTGTCATGGCATTTAAAAGATAAAAATGGAATCATAAATAGTGCCAGCTCCTCAGGAAAAAAAAAAGTCCAGCCGGCATGTCAAAATGGAGGACATTAGCATGTTCTTTTAGTACCCGGCTGCCAGCAGCTGAAGTCAGCTTGCTAATCACTTGGTGTCATCTGTCCTAGAACATGCTGCCAAATCTCTCTTCCAGGCCAGCAGCACCAAACAATGCAGGGGAAATTTATGATTCACAAAATATTTTTGCAGAAGGTAAAATCTGACCATTAAACTCCCCTGTTTAATTAATGCTGCCATATCTTACATTCAAAAGGAAGGGGGCAAAATCCTCTGCCACAGAATTTATCTCTTCTACCCAGCCAAATTCCTTGCCAAATTTAACAGCAAGCAATATAAATTTAGGTGATTAGATTGGTTGCATATATTTAATTTTTAAAAAGCACCACGATCACACTTTCATTAAAACAGGCTTTCGGCTTTGGTTTAGCGCCACTTGACAAACAACACAGCAGTCCATGATTGGGTTAGTGAAATGACAAGATTAAAAAGCGGGTCTTGGGCAGATGCTAGGCTCTTCCCTTATAAATATGTAAAACTGCTGGCCAAAACCCAGAAGGACACATTGAGGAGGTTCCTTTGCACAAACTCAGAGTCCACAAATTTTGGGTACAACAAGGTAGAATGGAAAGAACTCTCCAAAGGAAATGAACCCTTATCCCCAAACTCAGTTCTGATACTCAGTGATGTCAATTTAGGTGGCTTCCTTTGTCTCTTGGTACTTTGGTTTTCTCATGCATACAATGGTAACAACTGAGTCTCTCCCAAGGTGGGGGTGCGAGGCATAAGGGAAATAACGTACAGAAAAAAGGCTGGTACACTGCCTTGTATGCTGTAGGTGCTCAAGCAATGCTGGCTTCTTACATGTAAACCAAGAGATTGGTTTGTTTCTCCCTGTATCCCTGTTTCCTGATCTTGAGTCATTTCAAGACCACTATCATAATTTTTGTCCACATGCCCGTACTAACTATACTCTTGTTATTTACTATTTTGTTCAATACTGATTTATTTTGTTTACATAAAGAAATGTACTTACAAGGAACTCTTTTAACTACTAAAAACTGTAAGTTTTATGTTCTAAAAACTTGATTCCATAACTACTTCAAAATTTAATATAAGAAAACAATATTTTTTCCCATTCCCCTCACAACCTCTTATATGTAATTTTGTATAACAATGAACAAGGAGAGAAATGAATTACAGTAGATGAGGTAGAGAGAGAAGATGGGAGGGGAGGGGAGGGGGGATAGTAGAGGATAGGAAAGGTAGCAGAATACAACAGTTACTAATAGGGCATTATGTAAAAATGTGGATGTGTAACCGATGTGATTCTGCAATCTGTATTTGGGGTAAAATTGGGAGTTCATAACCAACTTGAATCTAATGTATGAAATATGATATGTCAAGAGCTTTGTAATGTTTTGAACAACCAATAAAAATAAATAAATAAATAAATAAAAAGAAAACAATATTTTTAATTCCAGCTAGATATTATTTCCCAATGGTTCAGAGTCTGAGGCCTACACACTGTTAAAAAGGGAAAACTAAATGTGAAGGGATGGTAAAGACATAGCACCAACCTGAGACTTCCCCCTTGAACATCAGAAAGGTAGAGAGAACTGACAAGGAATAGTTCCTCACTCTTGATTCCCTGTTCTGTAATCAGTACCTGGGTCTGTACCAGCCTACAGCATCTCTATATCCCTGGGATACAAAGCATGGGCTTTAGGAAATAGAACCATAGCCTTTTTGCTAAAGAAAATCTTACCCAGAAGCCAAGTGTATAATACAAACTAGAAAACAAAGAATCAAAAAAACAAACAAAACAAATGAAAGGAAGAGCCCAAAGCACCATCAATTCAGCCTCCTCATCTTCTGTCTCTGGGAGGGCCTGCCAGGGCTTCTGGAAATTATCAAGGTTCCTGGGAATATACTCAGATCAAAGGACTAGACCAATCCAATGACTGCTAGTCCTGACCGTTAGAAGTGTCTGCAGGGCTACTACAAATTCAGAACCTGGGCCTGAACAGAGATTACCAAAGCTGCCTCTATGGGATGAGACCCAAGAATTTGTATTTTATAATTCTGAGGATTTTGAAATGTTGAAATTCCTGGGATAAATTATTTCTAAAATGCTATCTAATATGAATTTCTATGGCTGCAAATGAGGAAAATTTCTGTAATATCACCCATCCTTACACAGAGAGATTTTATCTTCTAGCCTCACCATTAGATTAGGACCTAGCCTTTATTTCTCAACATCTGTGCACATTCACTCATTGGCTTCTCTAGCAGGGTACTGGTTTCTCCAATGGCCATTAATGTCTTCAGCAGATTCTCCTATGGGCCTTGACTGGGGGGAGCAGGAGTGGAGTGAAGCAAGAAGTCCAGAAACAGGTGTAAAATAAAAAGCCCTGGATCTGATATTCATGTGTTAAGCCAAGAATCACCTGCCTACATCAGCAAACAGGAGGAAAAGAATAAGCACTACTCCTCTCTGTAACTCCGTGCCTTCTTAAGGACCATGTTTGATATTGTAAAAGGAGGAAGCGGGTCAAGGAAAGAATAAAATAAAAATGACAACCACAATAAGAGCACTAATGACAGCAGCTATTACCTGTTTAGTTCTCCCTATGTGCCAGATACTGTTTTACATACTTTACAGGTAAAAAGTCATTTATACCTGTATACATACATGACTTGGTTAAGATAGTGTTGAACTAAATGATTGTCTGCTTGTTAAAGGACATCTGTCAAGAGATGAAAGAAGATATTTGTTCAGCTTCCCTGGATTTTTTGTTAGTTTAACTGTTGGACTATCCAGATCATCTTTCAAAAATCACTTTAAATACTCAAAAGATGAAGTCATCTTTACTGACATCTAGACAGTACTTATCACCATGATCTATTGAATGTGGAAGAGTAGATGCCAGAGAGGAGTGATATTTAAACATGGGCATGCCCATAGTACTTAATATTTTATAGGAACACACTGAATAGTATAGGAATTTGCCACATATATATCATTTTATAATGTTCTTTAGAAGGTTGTATTGGACATGGTGAAAATTGTACTGGAAGCCAGAAGCCCCACGTGTATGCAGACAAATCTAGGCGCTCAGACTCTCCTTCTTAATCAGTAAAATTCAGGGTAGATTATGTGCCATGGTTCCCCAAAAGGCTAGACAGATTTCCCAGCCCTCACCCCTGCTTGGGGTCTGCACTTTGTCAAGAACCTCAGGTTTGGCCAGTTTTGAGAGCTGCTGGATGATAGATCTTCTTGAGTTTCTCCTGTTTCATGTGACTTGAAACAAATTTCCACATTTTAAATGAATATACATTTTCATTAATGTTGTATCTTTGCCTTTTCACCAGATTGTTATTCATCCCAATGATTTATTTGATACTGAATCCTTGAACAGGTGCACAGTCTCCAATTATAACATTGTTTCTGTGGGGAAACATGATCTACTTTGTGACAACATGATTTATGATACAGTTATGGGAACATGTTGTGTCAGAAGTCAGTGTCTACCTATGCCAAACTTATTATGCTAATAAATGCCTTTTCCTCAGACAGAAAACATACTTAAAAAAGGAGGGAAATTATTTTTCTATGTGTATCCTTAGCTGGGACCCTCAATTGTTCATGCTCCTACTCACAGAAGAGCTTGCATTTGTATCTGCTTATTGCATTTATTCTTCAGCAACAGGCCCTGATCTCTTGTCTTTCTGCTGTCATTTTAAGGCTCATTTTATGAGCCTTTACCTTTCATATAGCAAGGCAGGAAAAGAGAGACACAGCTATGACTGAGCTGGAAAAGCATTCAATTCTGCTTTCTTTTTTTTTTTTTTTTTTAAATAAATTTTATGGTACGCATTTAAGATATATAAAAGGATATCATAAGACACATAGAATAAAATGTTACTATAAGAAAGCTCATTAATATACTCCTTTTGTCTTTCTAAGCATTAATCCAAAGAAAGGGTTCAGAGAACTTTTCATAGGTCTCACCTGAAGCTGTCACTGGGCACAGCTGCCCCACTCTTATGTATGTAGCAGACCGTCTGCCCCGCTATGTCCATTTGGCTGAAGCTTGTAATGGGGACCCCAGGATAGCGGACATATTCCACCTGGCCATACCGCGGTGGAGAGGTAATGGCATACAGCAGTTCCTCAGGCCTGTCTGTTCCATCTACAGCCAGAAGAGTGGCAGTCGTCAAGAACCCTCTGTCGCCTTTAGATACCACAAGTGGTTTTGCAAGAAGGACAATATCACCTGCATGGCAGAAGAGGCTGTGGTCAAGAATCCTATTTAAAAACACAGAATGTTCCAAGAAAAGGTAAAAGACGAAAGCCTGATGTCAAAATTGAATTAACACACAACATAGGAAGGTTTATGTAATTTTTTTTTTTTTTTTGTACCAGGGATTGAACCCTGGGGTGCTTGACCACTGAGCCACATCCTAGCCCTTTTATGTTTTATTTTGAGACAGAGTCTCATTAAGTTGCTTAAGGCCTCACTAAGCGGTGGAGGCTGGCTTTGAACTTGTAATCCTCCTGTGCCACTGGGATTACAGGCATGCACCACTACATCTGGCTTATGTAACTATCATAAATGAAATGCGAAAGAAATGATCAGGCATTTCACATGAAGAGGAAATATGTGTGGCCAACAAGGATATAAAAAGATGATTGATCTCATTAGTAATTGTGGAAATACAAACAAGATCACAATCAATTGCCATCTTATAACTCTCTGATAAGTAAAGATGTAGAAGTCTGATTATATTAAGTGTTTAACAGGATGTAAGTCAAAATAATGTTACATACAACAGTGAAGGGAGTGTAAATTGACACACAATTTGAACTATTTTGTATAATTGGCTATTCACATATACATTGGCCCTGCCATTGTACTCCAGCGGTGTACTGGAGAGAAACTCTTGTACCTCAGGAGACATGTACCAAAATGGTCATTGAGCTCTCTTTGTCTTGAAAAAACTGGAGACAACCCAAATGCCTCTTCAAAAGTGAACAAAATGTGATGCATGCATATAATGGAATATTATTCAGCCATAAAAAGAAGGCAAAAAAAGTGGGCATATAAAACAACTATGGTCTATTCACACAACTGACTCATGCTTTAGAAAAATGAATGTACTACAGCTACACATGGCAATATAGATGTACTTTGTAAACATTTTCTAGTTGCGTGAATAAGTCAAGAAAACTATAAGGAAAAATTAGAAGACAACACCAAATTCAAGATAATGGTTGTCCTGGAAGATGGGAAGAGATGTCTGTTATTGCCATATTTCAGGCCCTATTGTGTGGTAGTTGCACACACGTTTGTTGTATATTTTTAAAAGGTTTGTTTATACACTCACGTCCATAGCAGGATTATTCACAATTTCCAGAAGGTGGGAACTACCTGAGTCCCCTCCATGGTTGAATGGAGAAACAAAATGTGATGCATGTATACAATGGAATATTATTTAGCCATAAAAAGAAGGTGGATTCTGCCAGATGCTACAGCACAGATGAAGCTGAGAGCATTATGCTAAGTGAAACTAGCCAGTCACAAAAAGACAAATATCAGATGATATCACTTATATTAGGCACCTAGCCTGGAGTCAAATTCTTAGAAACAAATGATGGTTACCAGGGACCAGGGCAAAGAAATTAGGGAATTTATTGAGTATGGATTCTTCATTTAGCAAGATGAAAACATCCTGGAGATTAGATACACAACAATATGCATATAATTAATACTACTGAACTGTACACTCAAAACAGCTAAGATTGTACATTTTAAGGTATGCATATTTTACCTCAATTTTAAAGAAAATGCATAACTGTATGATGATTATATACTGCAGAAATGGATCATGTGTGGGCCAATGATATTCACCTGAGATCCATTAAAAACAATAGTTTCTACAGAATTTGTTCTTTGTATCAGGCACAGGACTAAGGGCTCTTACATGTTCATACCCATCCTGTGAGATACAGTAATGTCATGTTCCCAGATCATAAATAAGGAAACTAAAGTATAGAAATGCTAATTAACCTGCTCGTGTCTACACAATTAGTAAAAGATGGAAATACAATTTGTACTCAAGCCATTTGAAATGAGAGCACAAACTCTTAAACACCATATTGCTTTGTCCCCTCTCTCTAATATATAGGGAGTTCTGTATCAATACTTTAAGGTGAATATCCAAAAGGAAAAAATACGTGAAGTAAATACCAAGTCATTTCTGGATTGAAAAACACAAATGGTCAATGAGATTTTGAAGATATTCAATCTCATAAGAAAACAAAAAACAAAAAAGGAAAAATAAAATTAAACATCAAGGTGGTATAATTTTTCCCTTGCTCTGCTTAATGAATTCAACTGTATCCTTTATTGCTGAGGAGTGTACCCTAGCACTTTCAAAGTGAAAAGAGTGACAACCTTGACCTTTTTCAATTTCAAAGTTTCTTTTTGTTATTTCTTTAATTTAAAAACACATTTGCTTTACTTCCTTTCATGTTATTGCATTGGACATATTTTTTTTTGTAACTCTATTTTCAAATGATACTGTGTTTCCTGAAGATAAAACTAGAGTTAGCACATCAACTTGGTAAGATTTTAGTTAAAGCAAAAAGCCCTGACTATTAAATTAGCCTGTGGAGCTGTATCGTGAGCAAGGCTAGATTTCTAATAGGAAATAGGATTGGCTACTCCTGTGTATTTCATAGATCCCAGGAGAAGCAGGTGTGGAGTTTAGGATTGAATCATGAATGATAGAATTTCAGGAATGAAGGATAGAAGGAAGAAAGGTAATGAGAGAGACAGGGAAAAGGAACAAAAGTTGAGTACCTGTAGCAGCTCTTTTCCAGTTATAAAACTAATCCCAATAAACACCTTTTACCTTTTCCCATATTCTTGATGATGATGTGACAGTCAAATGCAGGCGATCTGTTGTCACCATCCCAGAGGTAGAAGGTGAAGCTATCTCGATTCTGGGAGTCCATTGCCCCGGTGTGCGTGTATCTCAGCAAATTCAGATCCACTTCTTCCTGGGTACATTTCATGCCCGGGGAGAGAGAAACCCAGTCTCTCCCTATCTGAAAGGTATCAGAATTAGTCAGCTGCCCATGTTTTTTTTCCCCAGTTGAATTAGTGAATATTTTATACATATCCTCTGAAATCCTCCAATAAAAATAACATTTGAGAGAAATTTCAAAATACATTTTCCCATGTTACTTTGTTTTTCTATTTTCTAAGAAATAGTTAAAATAAATTAAGATTGTGGCTAAAAAAAAAAAATAGTTTGAACCAAAGGATTTTTGACATAGTCATGTGACAATTTAATAGCATTGATTCTTTCAAGGTATTTATCATCAGCAATCATAGCTGATTAAATATTCCAATTAATGAGAGCAGGTGGGTAATCGAGCTGCTGGAATGTGTTCTTTAGAAATTAGATGTGTTTCTTTTGGAGTTCCCTTTTTTAGTTCCTATCCATTGTACAACTAATCAAACCGATTTTTGCAAAGTGGTTCATTACTAGGCTTCTCTGATAAGACAAAAATAGAATGAATGCATTTTATTCTCCAGTCCATTTTCTAGTTTTGCTGAAGCCTGAAGAAAATGATCCAGACCCCTATCACTCCCTACATTTATATCCTAAATCAGCAAAAAATATAATCTGCAAATATCACATGTACTATTTTTATCAGAATCTTCTAAAAACCAGCCAACATCTATTCTGTAGAGCTCGGTGCAGAAATTGTGGCATTTTCAATTTAAAGAGGTTCTTATGCTGGAGAGTTGGTTTACAACAGAGAGAGAGAGAGAGAGTATTAGTGAAATAATAAACCTGTATCTTATTAATAATCCTATTGCTGTTTTAAGATATACACATGGCTTTCCCTAAGAATAGCTCATCAAAAAGTAATTTGATATAACTGAAGAAAATGTCATTTTAGAATTTTATAGTATGAACTATATTGCACTTTTTCTGTCTGATTTAAGTAACTAAGACAGAAACATGAATCATTCACCTTTTATGTCCTTTCAATACATTATTCCACCGATTCCTGGCTTCTAGCATAGAAGCTCTGTCCTGCTCTCTCTTTATAATCTTGCCACTTGTCTCTCTGTCATTTTACTTGATGAGGTTTCTTCCTCTTTAATACTCTTGCCCATTTGATGCTTGCAACATACGTTCAGCCCCAGGGCTCATGGGTGAAAGTTAATTATATTGTAGTAGTTAAGCTCAGTGTTCATTTCCATAATAAGATCTATTTGCAAATACATTTTTTTTTCAAGCAGATTCTTTTTCTGGTTTTAAACTAGACAAGTCTACAGTTATATTTAACTTTTCCTCTTTGTAACCTTGTCCAGGAAAATAAATACAGAATACCCAATTTTTTGCTCTCTCTTGCCTTTACCAAACTCTTCTCTTATACCCTCAAATGGGAATTTGATCTGACAGAATCATCTGAAAGCCAAAACGCAGGAGAAAATAAGAAGTGGACTAGAAATGAGAAAAACCAAGGAAAGTCAACAAGAAAACATGATCTCTTGAGACAGTCCAGGAGGCCTGGAGTCCTGGTCCCCAGCCTTGGGGAGCCTGAAGGAGGTGCAAGAGAATGGTGGCGAGCCCTACTGGGAATCCGAACCCATCTGGATTTTCACATATCCAAAACAGTTCAGTTCCCAAGCCACCCAAATGTGTGAGCTTTCGCTGCATTTCTGCTTCATTACTCTTCAAAATGAAATAAGGACCCAGCTGCACCTCAATTTAAATCAGCAATTGCTCTTCACTCTGATTCTCTATGGTGCCCACACTCTAAGACAACCAAGCTGTTCCACACAGAAAGCATCCTCGCTGCTTCAGAGGACTGTGTGAAGAAATCAGTCGAACCATCACACCAGGCATTGCTAGTGGTTGTTGCTGGTCTGACTCCACTATTCAATAAACATTTTGGCGGATTACTGGACAGACCTTCTCAAGTGACTAATCCTTAAGTATCATTCACATGGTCTGAATAGAATGAAATCTGGCCCATTCTAGGACTAAAGTGAAACAAGGAGGTACTGTCAGATCACAAACAGTTGGAAGAGTTAGCAATAGAATCCACTATTAGGATCCTAACGTTTCCATGCTTATAGTTTCCTGATACAAATCAGGGATGTGAATTACTGCATCGTGGATTCAGGTATGGCAGCTGTCACAATCTGGGGTGGGATGGCCTCCACATGAAGTTTCTGCCCAGGGTTTTTGGTGCAAAATATTACTCACTGGAACCTTTGCATGAGGTCTCTGGGGTGGTGAGGGAAAGTGGGATTGCAGAGTAAGGGCACCAACTCTCCAGCTTTAAGTTCATCTCAGATAAAACACAGAACAATTTGGTAAATGTACAGTGAACTGTCTCCCTAGAGAAGAGACAGGATTGTCACTGCTTGGAGAGGAGGATGAAGTTTGAGAAAGAAACGTGAAGGATCCCTTTGCTGAGACTTATTGAAAAGGCAGAAGGTGATAACACTAAGGTAAGGTTTGGAGTCCCATGTGGAGGGGGGCTTGATCCCTGGGCTGCACTTTCAGGTCTCTGCACTATAGTGTCAGGGGACAGAGGCTCCATTTGTTAGGGGACTAGAGCAGAAGGAGCTGGAGATACCTGCTTCATATTTTCCTAGGCCTAACTGTCATGAAAAAAAATCAAATTTTTCATCTTTCTGAGAATGATCTGCATCTTAGCTGAGAGAGAGAGAGGTTGCTGGTAGATTTGAAGGAGTTTTGCACTTGACATGGTGGATGGTAAAGAGAAAAGTTACTTGGATCATAAGAAAAAAAATCTGGTGGGAATGAAGATATCTCAGAAGAAGCTAGATTCTTTAGAACCAGACAACTTCCTTTACCTGGTAACTTCCTCCCTCAGCATTTAGGGAAAAGCTCTGGGGAAGGGAGCAATAAAGAACCTTAATATTGGTTGAATTTGCCTTAAATTGACTAAGAAAATTTAGAAGGACATGATTCACCCTGGTTTAGGAAAATTCATCTCTGGACAAAAAAAAAATATGATTGAGAATAAATTCAATTGCACAAATATGGGTGTTGAGCAAATTTAAAACCACTATATTAATTTCAAAAAAATAAGCCTTAAAACCACCAACCTTAAGCTGAAGTTGTCCATGTTGGGGAAGCCTTTCAAATAAATAGTAAATCTTCTCCCTGGGTGAGTCTTTGTCTACAGCGGAAAGAACGGCGCTAGAAATAATACGGGTATCCCCCATATTCATTTCAATTTCAGCCTTCCTGCAAAAAGGGAAATGCCTGGGTTGATATGAAAACAGAAGGTGTTCCTTTAACAGGGAATACTTATATTGACTCTCACAGTTCCCACCCTTCAGCACCTGAGGAAGGATTTTCAATAGCCAAAGTGCCGAGAATGAAGTGCAGACATGAAAAGCTCTCATTTCACTTTACGTGCGAAAGTCTAAAAAGAAATGAGGCAGCAGCAATGAATAAAGTAGCACATAATTAAAACACTTCTAACTGCTAACATGTGTAGAACTTATAATTTTATAAGTAAAAATTCAGTTCAGCCAGGCACAGTGGCGCACGCCTGTAATCCCAGCAGATTGGGAGGCTGAGAGGCAGGAGAATCGAGTTCAAAGACAGCCTCAGCAAAAGCGAAGTGCTAAGCAACTCAGTGAGACCCTGTCTCTAAATAAAATACAAAGTAGGGCTGGGGATGTGGCTCAGTGGTTGAATGCCTCTGAGTTAAATTCCTGGTACAAAAAAAAAAAATCAGTTCATAAAATGATTATTTCTAATATTTCATTTAACACTCACTGCAATAGCTCCATAAGTAATGGGCCAGGTACTATCACTGTAATTTTATAGACAGAAGCTTACTGAAAGAGATTAAGTGGCTTATACACAGTGCTCCAGTACCCTTTGTGATATGCCATTCTGAGTTTGGTAGTATTTAGGTAATCTGGGGGCCTCTAGTATACTCTTTGTCTCTGTGGTTATGTTCTGGTAGCCTGTGTTCTCTTTATCATGCTTCATCTCTGCCCAGGGCTTGAGCCACCAGGTAGCTGCTGGCATCTTGAGCTGCAGGCTGGCACAGCAGCAGGCTTGGGTGGGAACAGCTGGTGCTTCTAACCTGGACGCTGCTGCTGTGGTTTTTGCAGGGCCTTTGTGGTGCTGCTGCTTCTACAGCCAATATGGCCACTTTCCCTAGTCTCATCCAAGGGAAGAGACCTCCTCCCACCAGTGCTTCTAGCTCTCAACCATGGACATTACACATGCCTACTCTGTCCACTCTAGCGGGCTTGTTTCTGAGAAATATTGAGACATGTGAATTACTTGGGATTCAGAGCAAGGACTTTGAGCAGCACCAACTGGCATCAACAAACAAACTTCCAGTCCTCTGCCGTGAAGCCAAGGTCAGGACACTTCAGTTTCAACCTGACCAGGGGAGGTTTCTTGTCCACCAGGATTGATATCCCCCTTGGCAGTAAAAGGAGACTTTGGTCTATCTTTTTACTGGAGAATATTAGTCCCATTATTCTAGAAGGCAAAGGGATCTGTTGCATCTGTTGGTTGGGTGCTTAGGGAGATTAGTGGTGCTTTTTATCAAAAGAGACAGATGAATCCAATCAGGAAGCCAGACTGATGAAGGCGGGAATTTGGTGAGAAGAAAGTGTCAGTATTAAATATGGAGAAGAAAAGAGGTGTCTCTAAAAGGGACCCTGGACAAAGTCTGTGGTGCAAGTAATTTGTTTGAGAGGCAATCTCAGGAAGAAGGAGAGAAACAGGGAGTGAAAAAGGAAAAGACAGCAAAGGGTATATTTCCTGATGGGCAATTGGGCTCAAACCTACTAGGAATCCTTTTCTTTTTCTTTTTCTTTTTTTTTCCTTTTCAAGGGACAGGATCTTGCTGTGTTGTCAGGCGGCCCTAACATCTAGGCTTAAGAGATCCTCTTGCCTCAGTCTCCCAAATAGCTGGGGTGATAGGCATGTGTTATAAACTCCAGTTGCTGGGGATCTCTTGAGGAGCCACAGAGGACGACACTAAGATTGTGCTTCTGGAGGACAGGAAGCTGGCACATTTATCTCATTTGCTACCTCCTGAGGCTAAGGGCTATCCCTACAGTTCTCTCTGCTGTGCCTGAATGTGGGCTGAATGATCCACTGCAGCTCAGAGAAAGCTCCAAATTTGAAAAGTGGAGCAGGGCGCTGTGGGCATCTGAGGTGGGGTGCTAATACTGAGCAGGGTACATTCCCCCACAACCATCAAGAGAATCACAAGTGAGCTGAGGGGCTATGAGTTAAGGAACTAGAATGTTGACCCAGCACCTAAGAGGACCACCAAACAAATGGCATCATAGGTTCTACCAGGGTCCAGTGAGGTGACAAGAGTCCCGGGATTTGGTGGGAAAGCCAAGGGTAACTTCTAAGGGAACAGCTTTAATAGAGTGGTAAAGGTTGGTTAGAGACATTGGCAGAAATGGAAGAAACCAGAACAAGCTACTCTTGCAAAAAGTTTGGCAGTGAAATGAGTGTGGGGCTGGGTTGTCTGTGTCCTCAGAATGAAGATAGTTACTTGCAATAGTGACGATAATGAACACTTAAGATTCTGCATGAGCCAGGCGCAATGGCACATGCCTGTAATCCCAGCGACTCAGGAGGCTGAAGCAAAAGGATCTCGAGTTCAAACCCAGCTTCAGCAACTTAGTGAGGCCCCAAGCAACTCAACGAAACCCTGTCTCTAATAAAATATTTTCAAGAGGGCTGGGGATGTGGCTTGGTAGTTAAGCATCCCTGGATTCAATCCCTGGTACGCCCCCCCCCCCAAAAAAAAAAAAAAGATTGTGCACGATGTTTTAGCCATTCTTTTAAGCGCTTTTAAATGTTTTTTGTTCACTTAATCCTTGCAACAGCCTATGAAGAGGATACAAACACTATCCCCATTCACAGAGAAGTTAGCAGATACAATGAAGTAGTGTACTCAAGGTCACACCACCACACCAAAGTACAGAATTACTGAGTCAATCTAACTCCAGCATTTGCTCTCTTAACTACTAACCATATCCCTGTGTCTTATTGATAAAAGGAAGGAAAAAGGAGAAATTGAAGATGCAGGAGGGGAAAAATTATGGAGGATGTACTAGAAGGAAGCAAAAGGTGATCTATTCAAGGACATATGGGAGATAAAGGGGGAACATCGCTTCCTCTCCACAAGACAGAATGAAAGAGAAAGATAAGAGAAAGGAGAAATTCACAAAAATTATAAACATCTGAGGTAACAGAAATCCCAGTTACCCAGACCCAATCATTACACCTTGTATACTTGTACTAAAACATCATACTGAATCCCATAAAAGTGTACAATTATATGTCAACTAAAAATAAAAATGTATTTTTAAAAGAAAAAAAACATGGGATTTTGAAGCAATCAAAGAGGTATGGTAATTTTGTAGCTGTAACTATCTCAGGAAGTTTAGTAATGTGGCCTTCTATTACTAAAAGGGGTGTTGATACATGTGGAACTTGGTAGAAATATGGTAGATCATGAAGTACCAAGATGATGAAAGGAGTATGATTGATTATTTCCCTCTGTCACTCTTATTTAAAAGTTTGAGCAAGTCCATTGTGAGGACTGTTTGCAGTTAACATTACCATTCTTGAGTAGAATACACATATTGATTGAACTTTGGTGCATGTGGGCATAGGTCTAAACATTTACTAGCATATCCCTTCTATGCTGTATGCTCAGTCATTCTTATTTTTTATACCTACTTGGAAATTTTAGAAGAAAATCAAATAATTAAAGGACTTGTTAAGAGGAGGTTTCATTCACTGGCATTTACATTAAGTGTTCCAGATGCCTGTGTGGGTGGAGCAAGTTAAGATGGACCAAATGATGGAATACTGGCTTCCTTAGGGGACACACACTTGTTCTTCACCCAGGATCACAGACTTCACAGAGCTTCATAAAAATCAGGAAGGGACTCTCTTAGGTGGCTTACTTGCTTAGCATTGGTTTCTCATCATTAACCGGAGTGATCTCTACTGAAATGGTTTTAAGTATCTTGTGTTTCCCATCTGACAATTGGATTGTAAAGTCGTCAGCAAAGCTCTCAGAGTCATCATGCACATAGGTCAACCTCATTCCTAGAAAAGGAGAAAAAGAAAGTAAAGCTCACTTAGGATTGAACCATCCCAACACACATCACAGGTAATCTGTTTTAAATCTGAGGAACTGGTACTAGCAAGATTTCATGGGGACCAGTGGTGTAGCTCACTGAGCAGTTGGCTAGCAAGACAAGGTCCTGGCTAGTTTCTCCTGCGTGGGAGAAAAAGGTTTACTAATCAGTACACTAGGGTGAAATAAAACTTGTCTTAGAAAATTAAAAAGTACCTTCATATCCCATTATTATTTCTTTATTTAAAATAATTTAGAATTTGACAGAGGCCTTGTTTTAAGTCAGTGAGAAAAAGATGTATTATTAAGTAAACCATATAAAAACAAAGGTGTCAGAGAGTTTAAATGAAACAGAAACTTAATTACTTGGGAAAAATTAGAGAGATATAGCCCTATCTTGAGCCAGTCCCCAAGATAAAAGCTTAAATATTAAAAACCATATTTAACTATATTTTTTAAACCTGCCTAATATTCACATGGAAATACTAGAGACCCAGAATAGCCAAGTCTTGCGAATTGGTGCAACCACTCTGAAAACAGAAAACTTGGAGTGGACCACCACTTGACCTAGCTATCCCACTCATCAGTATATACCCAAAGGACATAAAATCAGTATACTACAGTGAAACTGCCACATCAATGTTTATAGCAACTCAACTCACAATGGCTAAACTATGGAACCAACCTAGATGGCCTTCAGAGCTGAATGGATAAAGAAAATGTGGTATATATACACAATGAAATATTACTCGGCCTCTAAGAAGAATAAAATTATGGCATTTGCAGGTAAATGGATGGAGGTGGAGAATATCATGCTAAGTGAAAATAAGCCCATCCCAGAAAATCCGAAGGCTGAATATTTTCTCTGATAAGCGCATGCTGATCCATAATGGCGGGGGTGGAATGAAGGAACTTTGGATTGGGTACAGGAGAGTGAGGGGACAGAGTGTGGGATGGGAAGGACAGTGGAATGAGATGAACATTACCACCCTATATACATGTCTAATTACACTACCAGTGTGACTCTGCCCCATGTCCAGCCAGAGGAAGGAGAATTGTGCTCCGTTTGTGTACAATGTGTCAAAATGCATTCTAGTGTCATACATAACTAATCAGAATGATTTTTTTTAAAATACAATTTTAAAAAAAAGACAACATGGAGAAGAAATGGGTGGGCACCCCAGGGTAAGCTGACAGGAAGCTGCATTCTGAAGGCATGTCCTGGGCTAGCCCAAAAGGAGAAGGACCCTGTAGACTGGGAAAAGAAAACAGGTAGAGAAGGAAGGAGAATGAGAGTAGGCAGTAATTCTGAAACTGAACCATTTGGTCACATTTTTTAAAAGTATTTTTATAAGTGGGAAATGGGATAAGATCAGTGTTTTTTAAAGGAGAAAAGTAATTAAAAAATAATTCAGGCTGCTATTTCGATGTGTCATTTCCCTAAAGAGCAAATTATCTCCTCAGAGACTAATGAGTCCTTATTACATGTGGTTCTATATTTGTTTCAACTATGGAAATTTTGGCAGACAAAGCTCTTAAAATTTAGTTCCATGATCTCATTAATTTTAAAAGGGAATTTTTTATTATGACATAAAAGTTTACATTAAAATACCAAAAATTGCAAATATTATTTTTAATGGTACTCTAAAAGTGAAAGAAAATATGTTATTGCCTTTCCAATAAGCTATTATTTCTAGCCAGGACTTCATGCCTATCAATATTCTAAAGCCCAGAAGTAACCCTGGAGGGATTAAAATATAAAGTGAATGCTATTTCTTCACCCTCTATTTCTATGATTTATAATCATCTTTGCTCTGTTAAATTACATTCTAAAAATATTTGTTCCATATATCTATATAATATACACATTATAATGTATATATATATCTACATAATATATACATTATAATGTGTATATATATATATATATATATATATATATATAAATTGTAGATGGAAACAATTATTTTCTTTATTTATTTTATATATTTTTATGTGGTGCTGAGGATCAAACCCAGTGCCTCACACGTGCTAGGCAAGCTCTCTACCACTGAGCTACAACCCCAGCCCCTTAAATTACTTTTTAATTTGTTAAACTGATAAATAAAAATTATATGTAATTATAATATACAACGTGATTTTTGACATATTATATGTGATATACTTGATATATATTATATACATATACACACATTGTGATATGGTTAAATCAAAATAATTAACATGCATTACTTTATAACTTGTCTTTGTGTGTGTGTGTGTGTGTGCACGCGCACTGAGAACACTTAAGATCTATTCTTTAAGCAATTTTCAAGTACACAATATATTTAGCAACCATAGTCACCAATGATGTACAATAGATGTCCTGAATGTATTCCTTCTGTCTAAATGAAATTTTGTACTCTTTGACCAGCATCTCCCCATTCCTCCCATCCCCCAGCCTCTGGAAACCATAATTCTACTCTCCACTTCTGTGAGTTAGACTTTTAGAGTTCACATGTAAGTCCAAATTAAATTATTAAATCAATAGCAACAAATTGAACGGAAGTGGGACATGATATACCAGTCTTGAAAAGTTCCAAGGAAAAACTGTGAACAAGTTCCTGCTTCTGGTCAGGGTTGGCTGACTGCTTATTCTGAGGAGAGTCTTTGCTGAGCATCCTATTGATGAGGAGACCATGACGTGGTTTCTGAGTGATGCTGAACAATAAGGGGTCCTTGGGGATGTCCAGGTCAGCAGCACTGATGACAGAAGAATCCAGCTCTGTCGCCTGACCCTCACACACCTAACAGGAACAAGTCCAAAAAGTCAGCTGTGTGTGTGAAATAGAACCTGTCCACTAGATTCTTTTGACAAACTGCTAAAAACGTCGTTTTAAGATACTGTATTGCAGATTTTCCATAACATTTATATATAATGAGTCCTAAAAAGAAATTGCTCGTTTAATAGGAACATAAAAAGAAACATCAAATCTATTAATCTCCCTTATATTTTTTGAAGGTTTTAAAGCAATTTTCATTTCCATGAACAAAAAGAACATATGATTTTAAATGAATATATTATTTATAGTTTAAAAATTGGGAGAAAAAAGCAATCAAAGGATGCATAGTCTTTAGAAGTCAGAAAAGTTCAGTTGTAAAATCAAATCTAGAACCTTCACCTTCAGATACCAATCTGTTATTGTAACCTCCTGGACCTCATCCTTTCTACAATTCTTAGGTTTCTGTTTTAGGAATAGCACAAATATCTTTGTATACTGCATGTATTTGGTGTTTTAACTTTTATTATAGCAGTAATATCTTCTTTATTTATTTCAGTCAACAATTGAGAAGGATGCTTCTGACAGCAGAGAGTGTGTATTTTAATTCTGGGTCTTTCATCTTTCCCTAATCCTCACACCTCAAATTTTCCTAACCCACTTTCCCACACCCCACTTCAGGTTTGTAATCCTTAAAGCACAAAGAGAGTGGAATGTTCATGATCTCATGCAGGATCTAGTCATTTAAACAATATGGTACTGAGATGTCCTGACCTTTTTCCCCCTCATATCGAGGATAGGGAGAACAAGGAAATATTTTTGCTTCCTATTTTGAAATATGGCAGGATTTCAGTAATAAAAGAGAACAAATTCTATACATGCTTCTTGGGAATCTGCAATATCACTATGCTACATGCTGTGGAGAATATGAATATTCTCAAGAATCTAAGTCAGGAGAGACTGAAGGTCTCTCCACCAATAACTGTATTATGAGGAAGACAACACCCAGCACTGCTAGATACCAATAAACAAGAAGCACAATAGGGTGGAGGACACCAGGACATTTTTATGGCTGAGAACACAATCAAAGCTTGAAGGACAAATACGGTTTAGAATCTCATGGACTTTGAAGTGAACCCTCCTGTAACCATTTTTTACAGAATGCACATAAAGAAGAGTTACTCACCATACATGATGCCTGGGCTAAAATGATGCTAATTTTCATTTATCTGACCTCACTTATTAAGGACTGAGGCAGTATCATAGATTAATTCATAATGATACACTTATAAAAATTATCTTTGATCACAATTCACGTATTTTTCTAAAAACTTTAATAAAGCAACTTAAAAATATATTATTAATTATTATTCATCATAGAAATTAACTATGAAGGCTTTCCCCCCGACACACTGTATAGGACAACGTTTCTTATTTATAAAATGGTAAGTTCATTCACAAGGGTACTAGGAAATTTTACTGAAAAAAAATGTGGTATTCTTTGTTGGAGATTGAATTATTTATTGAGATTATAACAATGCAAAATTTAGATCAATACTCATAAAAGGCAGACATTTATAAGTTGACAGGTTTGGAATGAATTACAATAAACTAAAACTTCAAGTGTTTTTGTAGCACCATGTGATAAAAGTCTAGCTATCCACAAAATAAATACATTTTCTCACAAGAAAGAAAAATATTCCTTGAAGCTTAGTCGCCTCTGCCAATGACACTGGTACTCCATATTTGTTACCCTATAACAGCTTTCTCTAAGGAAGACACACGTAAAAAGCATGATTACTTCTAAAGAGCAAGGGACAACTTCCTAGTAGCCTAATTATTTCTGAAGCCCCAACCCTAGTCACATACAACACAATGGAGGTAAGTATAGAAGGAATCATTTGTATATTTTTTTTTGTCTCACATAATTACTGAGGGGCTCTCCAGAGAAACCCATGTGCCAACAAAATAGGAAAGGCAGGAACTGCCTCTTAAATTTAATGCTGAGGTGACTCTCATGTACCATTAAGATTCAGTAGAAAATTAAAAACAAAGACTTTCACATTTAGAATGTAATTTTTTTAGCAGGAAAAAAAAACCAAAATAATGACTTTGGCCAATAACAGAAAAAAGATAACAAATACAACAATGACAATAATAATAATGACACCTATTGATTAAGGGTCTGCTCTGTGCCTGGCCATCTCAATCATCATGGCTAACCCTCAAAGAAGATTTTATATACAGTTTGCAGATGAGGAAACAGAAGCCCAAGATCATACACCTATTAAAAGCAAGACCCCAAGTCCCTCTAATTCCAAAGCCTGTGTTCATCCTATTTCTTCAGGATTTGCTAATACATATGTCTGGATTAAATAATCATTTACATTTATATGTACTTATACATATAAATTGCTTAAAAAGAGTTATATACTAATGTGAAATATTTTAAATCTACACAATCTTGTTTTTAGGAAATGAACTATAGAGTAGTAGATAAAATTTATCCCTATTTAAAAATTAAAAACAAAAACAAATCACAATATCATACCCATTACTAGTATGTGCAAGAATTATTTAGGATATTTAGTTAACCTCATTAAGCCTAATTTCTTCAGTTACAAAATGACAATAATAATGCCATCCCCTTAAGAGTCAACAGTGAGGATTAAATACGAATGCACATAAAGGGCTTGGAATCTACAATGTAGTAAGTACTCCATTCTATACATAAGCAATGTAGTAATTGTATCCATGCAATTGCCCAATGCTAGCAATAATTATGATGATTGCCATTATTGTTATTATTAGAGTAATAGTTTTCAAGTAATCACATGATATAGGTTACTGCATTCCCTACCCCTCACCAAATTAGTGTGTTTAGAGCTTCTGAAGCAATTTAAATTGACTAGGTTAAAATAAAGACAAAAAAAAAATGATGAGTGAGAAATGGAATATTATGATAAGGTTCTTACAGTAATATTCTGCACTACAAAGTCAGGAACTTCATCATTTGTGGGGTTGATTATAACATAAAATGGAGTCTGCAAGGAGCGTCGCTTCCCATCTGTGACGTACACCACAAACTGGTCAGTGGTCGGTTCCATCCTCAGGTGTCTGGATTGCACATAGTTGATGTGCAAAGCCTTCATGTCTTTCCAGTGAAAGGAAGCTAGAGCACACCAAGATGGAACAGGTAAGTAAGAAAAGCATTATTTACGAGGTACTGGTCCTTATCTTTAACCCAATAACACCCTGTTTTTTCAGCAAAACCAATAAAAGATCATGGCAGTTCACCTAAGTATCTGCTGTCAGGGACAGCTGCAACATCTGCCAACCATTAACATAAAAACAGATAACCATAGATCAAAACCATAGATCAAAAGATTCAAATAGACAGGGAGAACAGAAGAGCAATAGCTACAAACCAGGATGCAGAGGAACTTCCTGACCACTCTTCAGATCCTCGGAATGGATGCTGGGAGACCGTTATCTGACCACTGCTGCTGCCTGAGCAGCTCATGTTATACTTCGGTAAGAAAGAGCCCACCTCTTTCACATAGAGGCAAAACAGGAGACGATTCTTGGCCTACTTGATGTACACATCAAGCACCTGATTGAATTGAGTGGAATTAGCTGATGTAATGTTTGGGTATTAAGATGTAGCCTTAAATCAAAAAATGGCTCCATGTGTGAATTAAGTCACAGGAAAAATTGGGCAATGTTTGATGCAATTAATTTTAAATGCAGACTTTCTCATATTTAAAGTAGATATGCCTCAAAAAGGGCTCGCAGAATCATATACTTCTAAAGTAACTTAAAAATATATTATTAATTATTATTATTATCTTAGGAAAATTTGGATTTTTGCTCTCTGCTTTTGTTTTGGTTGTTTTGTTTTTGCCTCAAATACAGGAGCTATTTTATTATCTGAGACACATTTTGATTTCAAAATTAATGTTATCTGCTTAAACTTTTTAGACTTTCTTTCTATATAACACTCATAGTATGTTTTCCAATCTTTTCCACCAGTATCTATTAAAATGATGAAAACTTGTGAGACTGAGACCTTGTAAGCTCCCACCAGATAAATTCTATTACAGCATTCTGTGCTGCTATAAGGGCCTTTAAAAACATTATCTCTTCCATATATATTTCCACCATGCTGCCTGTGCATTGGTTTCATTAATGAGGTTCTTGGCATAAAAGTTAGCTAGCAGAGATAGAAATAAAACACACAGACTCAGTTACCTTTTTCTATGACCAGGTCCGAGACGGCTCCCCTCTCTGGCTCCAACCTCGAACCACCCGTAGGGCAGCAAGGATTACTCAGGGCTAGCAGGAGAGAGAGAGAGCGAGCACGCCAGGGAGTAGCCTTTTATTGGGGAACAAGAAATTCAGGGGAGAATTCCATCCAATGAAGGTTGAGGGGGGCCGCACTCCAAGGTCAGGGTCAGTGATTGGGCCCCCGGGGTCAGTGGTCAGTCACACCCCCACACGGACAGGTTCTCTCATCAGGAGAGGGCCGGGAAAGTTCCGACACAGCCAGAAGCCTCATACCCAAACTGGGAGTCACCCAGTCACGCGTGAGGATGGCTCTCCACATATATTCTCATTTCTTCATTAATGAAATCTTCACTTAGTTTGATATTAACTCGTATGCATAGGAAAAATCAGAATAAAAATTTAAAAATTATAGATTCAAAAGCATCAGCAATAATCATATTGATAATAATAATTTCTTGAATGTACATGGTGCTTTGAACCTTTTTGGACTCCTTGCCCAGTTATTAAGCATGATCTGGCCAATTACATCCATAAATAGAACAGTTAATGCTAGTCATGAAACCATCACTTACCTATACTTATGCCCATATTGCTTTTCTCAAAACCCACAGAAGGAAGTGTGTTTTCAAGGTAACCAAATTGGGGAGGAGAAACCAAAACAAATTCCAAGTCATCTGCAGCAGTGTCAGGATCATTGGCAGACAAATGGTTAATGGTAAGGGCTGTTGAGAACCCCTCATCTACAAGGAACATGGTACCTGCATACAAATAACAACACAATCATGAATTAGCATGAAATCTTCTAATCAGAATAGGGAAGACAAAAGGGAATGATTGAAGTTCCAATTCAGAGATGCCTCCCCTATGCAAATACACTTCCATGGGAGATGTTCACTTCCTTTGGCATAATTCTCTTTATTCCCTTTACAGTGAAAATATTCACGGATAACGGGTGGAATTTAATTTGACTTATATGGAATTATATCTTTTTGCTTGTACAAGCAAGCCAGACAATAATTGAAAGACAGCCGAAATACTAACTACTCCTGCACAGCCTTTTAGTCATTCTCAAGGAACTCTGATTTCCCTTGTGTCTCTACAGAAGTGACAAATGAAAATGCGAATTGCCAAACTGTTTTAATGATAAGCCACTAAATGTAGTTTATGTACTCTTCAAGATCAGTTGTTACCTCTGTTTGTCAGAGCGTTAATTGCCTGAGAGCTATTATGAATTGCTCATAACGAACATTTTTTTCATGCCTTGGTGCTTAATTATTCTGCTGGGATAATGCTTCCTTTCCAGAACATTGCTTGGGAGATAGTTTGCAAATTACAATAACATTCATACATATGCTTATATTTTTTTTCTGAGGGACAGAACGTATACATAATGCTTATGAAGAGATGACTTTCTAAATAGCAAATAAGGTTAAAAGTATATAAATGGTCTCTCTGGTATACTCATTCTGTTCTAATAGAAATTACTACGGATAAAATAAATTACTCTCTCTCTCTCTCCAGCAAGCAAATGATATTTTCCCACATGAAATCAAACCAGAATATTTGAGGATTCCAGTGTTGTCCTTGTCCCAACGTGCTCACATGCGCGTGCGCACGCGCACACACACACACACATACACATTCTTTCTCCATGAAGAAGTAACTAAATTTCTAAACAAGTGAATTCTTTTGTCACATAATCTTTTACAGATTTGGGGTTTTCCACAAATTTCTGATGAGTCAGTTATTTGAGGGTAATTGTTGTATGATGGTTTTCCATTATGACTCTAAGTAAAATGTATTATTTCACCAAACCATGGCTATGACCCTAGACAAGATAATAGTACTTTTACAGAAAAAAAAAAATACATTGTTACCTATTGCAATTGAAGGTGGCTGATTGTCTACTGGATGTACTGTGATGTTGAGATCATACACTGGAAAGGACTCATGGAGAGGAACAGATGGATTAGGTCCACTGTAACAACAGCCATTCACAAAAGGGCCAGCTTCTCCATCCGAAATCACCAAAGTAATGGTATCAAAACAAGGCACCAGGCCAATCTCACCACCTGGAAAACACAACTATGGTTGAAACCTAACTTTTTAAAAATACAGAATACCAAGATGGAATCTACTCACACCTCCTCTGTCAGCATTGAACGGCAAGGAGAGGAACTTATGAGAATAAGTGTAAAAATGTAAAGCCCAATTTTATCACTATAAAATGAAGTACTGTCGTGAAAATGCTTGTCCATCTGTTGCCTCGGGTGAAATTCCTGCCAGCCATCAATCACCATATGGAGGGGCAACCCAGGGCAAACCAGGGTCTGACAGTTCACAAATGAACAAGGGAGAGGCAGGAAGCTGACTAGTGATGGTTTTATTCCTCCAGCATAATCCTTCAGGGGTTATGAAGACCAACCTCAGGCAGAGGCAGAACACACCCTTGTCCCCTTGGTAATTGCCCTTCCTTTTGTACCAACCACCTTGAATTTATAACCATCAGCCACACAGCAGTTATGAGAATCAGAGGGCACTGGATAGGTGCAAGTAAACAACACTCCACATTTTGATCATTTCCTTCAATGTTTTCTTCTTTTTATATATTAACCAAGATTTTTTTTTTAAATTAGCAACAGTGCCTTGAAAAAAAGTGGCATTTACCTTCACCTTCTTCCTATTACTTGTTAGATCTTACTCTCTACAATCCAAAGTGGCCTCAACTTGAGCCTTGAGAGATAGAAGGAAGAAAAAGCCAGGGCTAGATAGCTTATCTGGAAGAGGACAATCTCCTCTGAGTTGCTAATGAACAGCATGGAGCCAGAGTGCTTGCTCTCCAGGGGGCAGAAAAGCCCTGCAAGTGTGCTGTTGGTAAGTCTCACGTCTCACCTTCAAAAAGCAATTAATTCTGGGAGCATCCATGAGACTAGGGCACAAAAGAAATGTCATATCTTCTCACCATTCACACTACCCAAATTGGCAGAGTCCTGTGCTTGGGATTATTTTCCCAGTTTAAAAAAAAAAAAAATGACACGAAAAACCCTACAAATGATATCATTAAGCAACCAGATGATTAAAGTATGAAAAATTGGAAAAAACAGAGTTGAGTTCTGAGAGTTAGAAATGATCAGTCTTCAACTCTGGGAGTGTCAACAGTAAAGGCCTCTCACCTGTTTATAATGACTAAAAAAAAAAAAAAAAAAGCAAATTGTCTTAAAAACATTGATTCATCAGTTATTTAGTCAATAAATATCTCTTTAAGGACTACTGATGAATTCATGAATCCAATCAATTGCAAGTCAAAGATACTTAGAAAAATATTGCATCTGGACTGAATATATAGATTTTTTTCTTGTCATTATTCCCTAAACAATATGGTATAACAACTATTTACGTAGCATTAGTATTTTAAGCAATCTAGAGATGATTTAAAGTATATGAGAGAATGTGTATAGGTTATAGGCACATAGTAGGTCATTTGATAAGGGACTTGAGCATTCAGGGAATTTCTCTCCGTGGGGGTCCTGAAACTAACCTCCTGAGGATAGCTAGTGACAATTGTGTATTAGCCCCATAATGTGCAAGATGCTGAAAGAGAATGAGAGTGTTGGCTGACAACAGCCTGGGCTAAGGCATATATGCCAGTAGAAAAAATATTTCAGCCCCTATCTCTCACCATGAACAAAACTCAACTCAAAGTGGATCAAGGGCCTAGCAATTAAACCAGAGACACTGTGACTAATAGAAGAAAAAGCAGGCCCAAATCTCCATTATGTCAGATTAGGCCCTGACTTCCTTAATAAGAGACCTATAGCACAAGAATTAAAATCAAGAATCAGTAGGTGGGATGGATTCAAACTAAAAAGCTTCTTCTCAGCAAAAGAAACAATCAGTGAGGTGAATAGAGAGCCTACATTTTGGGAGCAAATTTTTACCACACGCACACCAGATAGAGCACTAGTCTCTAGGATACATAAAGAACTCAAAAATCTTAACACCAAAAGAAAAAAAAAAAAAAACCCAAAACAAAAAAATCAATCAATAAATGGGCCAAGGAATTGAACAGACACTTCTCAGAAGATGAGATACAATCAATCAACAAATATATAAAAAAAATGTTCAACATCTCTAGCAATTAGAGAAATGCAAATCAAACCTACTCTTAAGATTTCATCTCACTCCAATCAGAATGGAAGCTATTAAACAAACAACAATAAGTGTTGGGGAAAAGGCACACTCATACATTGCTGGTGGGACTGCAAATTGGTACAGCCAATATGGAAAGCAGTATGGAGATTCCTTGGAAAACTGGGAATGGAACTACCATTTGACTCAGCTATCCAACTCCTTGGTCTTTACCCAAAGGACTTAAAAACAGCATACTACAGGGACACAGCCATACTAAAGTTTATAGCAGCACAATTCATAAGAGCTAAACTGTGGGACCAACTTAGATGCCCTTCAGTAGATGAATGGATAACGAAAATATGGTATATATACACAATGGAATACTATTCAGCATTAAAAAAGAATAAAATCATGGCATTTGCAGGTAAATGGATGGAGTTGGAGAATATAATGCTAAGTGAAGTTAGCCAATCCCAAAAAATCAAATGCCGAATGTTTTCTCTAATATAAGGATGCTGATTCCTAAGAGGGTTGGTGGGGAGCATGGGAGGATTAGATGAACTCTAGATAGAGCAAAGGGGAGGGAGGGAAAGGGAGGGGTACACAAGGGTAGGAAAGACAGTGGAATGAGATGGACATCATTACCCTAAGTACATGTATGAAGACATGAATGATGTGACACTACTTTATGTACAACCAGAGATATGAAAAACTATGTTCTATATGTGTAATATTAATTGTAATGCATTCTGCTGTCATACATAACAAATTAGGATTTTAAAAATTTAAGAAAAAAAGGAAAAATCTTTCAGGATGGCTTCACTGGCTTTGCACTGTGTGTTAAAGGGTAAGTAAAAGCCTGTCAAGCAGATAAGGCAGGGAACTGGGAGGCAGGAGAGAAGAACAGAAGAAAGTTTACAAAAAAAAAAAAAAGGCAAACATAGCACATTCAGTAACTGCCATTTCTCTATGATAGAAGCATAGGATATATCTATAGTAATAGCTGGAAAAGTAGGCTGAGCATTAAATCACTAAAAAGGCTACTGCATAGATGGGAGAACTCTTTACCTTGGAATGAATATAGTCTAAGGACATGATTTACACTTTAAATGTTAATCATAGTGTTATTATATCAGCATTGTATAAAAGAAAATTTTTGAATGACCCCATTTTTAACATTAGGAAATTAATTATATACTTTTATAGTAAAATACTATTCAATTACTAAAACATTTATAACAACCATATCATTTAATAGACATTTGAATAAACATTTTAGATGATAATCTAAATGAAAAAAGTAACTAATATAAGTACATATATATATATATATATATATTATGATTGTAACTAAGTGAAAAGTAACACCTAAAAAAATTAAATACTGTAATACTTTAATGTTAACAGTGACTATCTTTGAGAGGTATCAGTGTTATTTGAAACTTCATTACACTTTTCAATTCTTTTTGAGTTTTCTGCAATGAGCAAGCATTATTTTTATAATTACAGAAAGCAAATAAATAATGCTAGTAAAATTATTCATGGGTAGTTTTATAATCAACATATAGAAGCAATAGTGGAGTCAGACAATTCACTTCAGATACTAACCAGACTGGGATTCTTTCCATTGATTCTATCACAATGTTAAGTAACTACCTATTGAATAAACAAGTGAATATTACAATATCAAATTGTCCTTTGACTCTAGTATTTCTCCTAATGTTATAACAAAAGAAAATCTTTTTAAACTAATTTAACCCAATATCTTTCTAGGTCTCATTAGCTAACAATTCCTTGCATGGCCATTACACTAGAAGAGATTTAGACACTTGAATACCCGCTGGTTAGCACTTAGAATGAGGTAGTGGAAGAAAATGTAACCCATGTCACCCTAATTCATCTGTGCTTTATGATCCTGCCAAAGGTATTGAAATTATAACAAACGACAATCACTAGTCTTTGAATCCCTGTCCTGCAAGGTGATTTGAGATCTACGAAGGAAACATATAAGAAGTATGTAGTTGTGAACTCTTAAGAGATATCAAGCAAGTGCAAAATATGCTCCCCAAACAAGGAAATAACCAGTGAAATCTTTCCTAAGTCTACATGCAGATAAGAGGGAGATACCATTTAAAGAAAAAAGATGTTTAGCAGCATGAATAAAATGTCCCATGTTCATTAATTATCCTTGAGACAACTGGTATCCTGATAAATTGCTGTTTTCCAAGATACATATGAAAACATATTATTTCAAAGTGTTTTCTACCATTTCCAAATTAATCCTTAGTAATCTCAATCATTTCTCCTTGAGCCCCCTCTCCACCTCACTAATTGAATTTTCTCTACATCATTTCAAATAAGAAAATTACTTGAATTCTGAAAGCTCTTACAGCCTATACTACTCAGCTGGCCTTATACGCCCAATTATACTTCCACCATGGAATTTTCAGTTAAAAGAGGCATATCAATAAGTAAACAGGAAATTGAAATAGTGTGCAATTAATTCCAGTAAGAGAAAATATATGGTATTATTACTGAGGAAATACCCCTAACCCAGACCTCAGAAGAGTACAGAGGAGATGATGTCATGATGGGCAGATTTGTCATTCTGTCATCTGAAAGGATTTTGACTGCTTGCTTGAGTGAATCGTCCTGCATGGCAGGATCTGGATTTACACTCCATTGGAGCCCCATGGGGCCTGGTGATGTCCTTGCAGATATCAGATGTTGAATTAATATTTTCTTTAGTTGAACAGTTTATATGAGGAATAAGTGTCATCCAGGAAACAAAATAATGTGATGCCAGAAATGTAAGCGCAGTGCCTAAAAACAAGCACTTCCTGAAGATTTAAACTGTGTTCACGCTGACAGGTACCGTGGGCAAGTCCCACAAAGTGTAAGAGATCATCTTTGCTTCTCAGGAACTTAAAAAGCTGACTAGTTACTTCTTAGGAGTTAGCTGGCCATCAGTAAACTTTTAAAATTCATCATATCATTAATTTAGGAAGTTTACTTCAAGAATTTCTATTATGATTTATGGATCCATAAGCTGAAGTGACCAATTTAAATCCTTGAGTTGACCCAAAAGTAGGCGTATGTGGTAGCATCAAGAACAGCAGTAAGCTGGGCACCGTGGCATATGCCTACAATCTCAATGGCTCAGGAGGCTGAGACAGGCGGATCACGAGTTCAAAGCCAGTTGCAGCAACTTAGTGAGGTCCTAAGCAACTCAGCAAGATTCTGTCTCAAAATAAAATATAAAAAGGAGCTAGGAATGTGGCTCAGTGATTAAGTACCACTGGATTAAATTCTTGGTACCAAAAAAAAAAAAAAAAAAAAGAACAGCAGCAAGTGACACCTGCTTTTTCTCAACCCTTCAAAATTAACTATAATACGAGATCAAAAACACTCCTAAATATGGTAACTGTAATTGAGAAGTGTGGTGCAGGCTGCAGCTGCATCTTTTACTCTATTTTTTAAAACTGAAGCCAGCATTAAGACTGTTAGATTATCAGAGCTACAGCAAGTGGAATAAGGCTCTCATATGGCTTGTGTTTCCTCACTAGTCACAATGCCGTCACTTACCTGTGTGTTTGTATGTCACAGCCCCTGAGATAATATCTCCCTGAGAGAACTGGTCTACTTGAACACCAGCCTTCCACACCACCCCATGCTGAGGTTCTCGGGCAATCATAACCATCAGTTTCAAGTCATCACTATCCATATCAGTAGCAAAAATGTGTTCAGGAGTGATGACCACCTCTCCACCCTCTGAGCAATGCATCATGGGGATGAGGTCAGCCTTCAGGATTGGCGGCTCATCATTTATAGGAAACACCTGAGCAGGAAAAAAAAAAAAACGCTTTCAAGAAAAAGAAATGACAAATTGCCCAACTGGCAACACCTAGCTCAAAGTCACAGTGACAGGGATTTTCGATCTTCCAGACACATGAAACAATAGCCATGGAATTTGGCCAAGCAGCCTGTTTTTAACTTCCCCCTATGTACCATCTTGCAAGGAAGACTCCACATGAGAGGCATTTTAGGGAGAAATGGAAGAAATACGTTTATGGTTTGGGACTCAAAACTCTATCTCCTTCTAAACAGACAAAACATAAATGTGATATACAACATTCCTCATCAAAGCCTCAATCCTTCCTTCTTTGTCAAAGTCACACATATTCCTGAGGAATTCTGGTCCTTGTGGTGTGATGCGCGTACATTCACAGTGTCCAGGTTATTTTTATTTTGCATTATCTAGTGACTACAAACCTTTTCTCCACCTCAATTTCCTGCCACCCATGAAGTTGGGTTCACAATAAGCCACAGCTGCATTTCAAATGGTTTGCATTACATGTGAAACTCCATTAGCCAGGTTTCAACTTGAAAAAAAATGCTTTCCTCTCACTCAAGAAAACAAAGCTCCAAGATGAAAGGAAGGAGAAACAACATGGGATCACACTGGCTCTCTGGCTTTGAAAAGACCGCACTGAAATTTTAAAAGACAGGTCTTTTAAAGGGAACAAAGAGCACTTCTCCTTGGAATCCATGGCCACAACCTGGGGTGGGCTGCAAGGTTTATCTTGTCAGGTTGGCCCATGAGTCTGCTCAACTTTACATTTCTTCCCTCTTGCACTGTGGCCACAGGGGTCTGTTTTAAATGTCCATTTCAAGCTGCTGCCTTCTTGGGACTTTTATTGGCTTCCCAGTGCTCCTCCTGGGAGTCACTGGCTCATCTATGCTCTGGGATGTGCTGGCCACCTCCCTCCCTTTTCACCCCAGCACACCTTCCTCGCCATCTCGGGGCCTGTGCAGCCTCTCCTGCCTCTGTCCAGCATACCCTGTCGCCAACTCTTCGCTAATTCCTGCTTTATGTTCCGTGTGAATTCCCCAGGGAAGCCCTCCTTGGGCTCATTTAGGAGCTTCTATTACTTAGTTCCCCTACTTATTTATAGAACACATATAAAAATCAATTCATTATTTTGGTGATGATCTGTTTAATGCCTGTCTTTACCCCTGGTCTGTAACCTCTAGAAGAATAGGGACCTGTTTGTCTGCCTTGGTCATCATTGTATTTCAAGTATAGAAGATCCAGCATAAAAGAAGGCACTTGTAAAACATTGGCTGAATAAATGAATATAACTTTGTATCTAGACCCTGAGAACCCTACTATTTAAACAGGCTAACATCTGTAAACAAATACACATGAAACATATGAAATTATTGACACTTTCTTTTATGGGTAGAGGCATGGATTGATAGAACCCCTAGCTTAGTTATTTAATCAAAGAGTTTTTAAAAAAGCATACAATATTCTCTATTTTTTTGTTGTCTTATTAAGGAAAAAGTATCTTTTTTTCAAGTTTTCTGTGCAAATTCAGTAAAGATCTCTATTATTGTTCTTGACTCTGTCTAGGGAATTTCACCAATTAATTCAAATGGATAATAAAATTTAAAGGAGAAACAATTAAGAATATTCCTGGGACTGGGGTTGTGGCTCAGTGGTAGAGTGCTTGCCTGGCATGTGTAAGGCACTGGGTTCAATTCTTAGCACCCCATATAAATAAATAATATATTTAAAAATGTGTGAGGCCCTGTATTTTTTTTTTTAAATAATATCCCTTTTTGGTAAAATCACAAACACAAACATTGTGTCCCTGGCTTGCAAAGACCATGCCCTTTTATTTTAAAAGAATCAATAAATATATTCTTTTCCCAAATTTCTCTGCCTATTACCAGTAATAAGAAAGTCATGAATGAAAGATAGGGTTGGGGCCTTTTCCTTGAAATTTACTTTTCAGGATAAACAAAAGCAAAATTTTAGAAGAGATTTCTCCGCACATAAAAATCTGCCAACAAAGAAAATATTTTTTTGAAGTGAAATAATGTACAGCTTTTCATCAAGACCTCCAAGGCCATTAAGAGGACAAAGTGGAGAAGCATGAGGAAGATGCTCCACACTGTGCCTGGCACAAAATGGTACTCGGACCTGCTGGCATTAGTCACCTGGCGAGGTAGAAGTATGGCATGGTAAAAAGGAAGAACACTGGCCTAGCTACCAGAGTGTAGAGATGCCAGACCACATTATACTGTCAGGCACATGACTTTGGGCAGGTTGTCAAAACTTTCTTGGGCCTTAGTGTCCTTATCTATAAAATGGGAATAATTGCTTCCCTATCTGCTTCATAAAACAATACACACATGTGAACATTATTTCTTAATAACAAGTACAAAATATCTTATAAACATATTGTTACCACTAATAATAAGTGTGTATCACAAGAATCTGGACAATATTAAAACCAAAAGAGACAGAATTTAGCACAATGATAATAATTAGTGGCTCTTCAGGGAATGTGGCAAGTTTTTCTGCAGACCTTTCTTAGTCACTAGTTATAAATAACCAGAAATCTTATGATTTGTGCTCATGAACTTGGGTAACCACTCAACAGAGAAATTCCAGAGTCCTCAGAAGTCCTTTGGGCATATGAACATATTTTTCTTCATTTGTTAAAAGGTAGAAGAAACATGGCCTCAAACAGACCTTCTACCAGGGCTACATGGTGCAGAAATTCACAAAAGAACACCACAAACCTACACACATGGCTTCTTCCATAGGCCAGGAACCCTCAGAGATGCCAGCCTAACCTGCTGAGCTGCTAAATAAACATTTATGAGTGTTAGTGTTCAAAATCATTGTAAATAATTTATATATGAAACCCCTTACTTTGGGGGGGATTCTTACTGGAGATTGGACTCAGGGGTGCTCTATCACTAAGCTATATCCCAACTTTTTTAAAATTTTGAGACAGGGTCTCATTAAGTTGCCTAGGCTGCCCTTGAATTTATAATCCTCCAGTTTGAGCCTCCAGAGTAGCTATTACTTTTTAAATTAAATATCTGTGTTTTTAAGTCAGAATATTTCTACTCTAAATGGATTGGGGAGAGAATAGTTTGTCCAACTATCAGTATAACCACGTGCCTGGCTCAAGATATACAAAGACATAAGGAGGCATCCTCTTGCTTTGGTACTTAAGTTATATTAGGGACTCAGGGAGATTTTCAAAATAGACATTTTATTTTTATATGACTCAAGGAAGAAACATTCTACCCACCTCAACATATAAAACAAATTCTGCTGAATTTGTGCCATCTGTGACCTCCAAGAGTATGTTGTCCTGAAGAACCTCAGATCCATCATGTTGATACCTATGGGGATAATATTTGTAACTAATCTCTGAAGAACACTGTAAGACTAAATTGAGATGCACTACACAAGAGCTCTTCTTGTGTCATGTGTTCATTAAATAAATAAATAAGAAAAAACCAGCATAATCATGAAGTCACATATTTAACCGCTCAAGTACCCCTCAACATAAAATTGCTCCACCTTAGGAAAGTCTGTTATATGCACTGATAATTTATATTCATCCCCAAATCAAAAAGTGGTCCTTCAGTTGCCACTGTGACAACAAAAACCATTTTGTTGTAGTTCTGCCTATTTGCAGAATACACTGTTTGGGGCCAGAGAGAGACCCTGAGAATGAGTATAGACAGGGAAAAGTGGGACACTATGTGGAACTGGTGACTCCTTCCCCACTTTCAAGGCTAATCTTTCTGCCATTGTTCAGGATCTACTCAGCTCTTCTCTAAAACCCTGATCCCTGAGTTCTATATTGCCTCCCTCCATTCTCTCTCTTCCATTTACAAGCTTTCCTCCTCTCAACCCATAAAGAATTTCAACTCTCTCCCAGATTTAAAAATACCTTTCCCTGGTCTAGGCTTGGCCTTATATTCCTTTAAGACTCAGCCAAAATCTTGAAGGACTAATTTTGCTCCTTAGAATTCTTGGCTATTCTTGGCTTTCCATACACTCCCCAGCCTACTGTGGGGATGCCCAGTAAATTCTAAATAGCTGTTGGATTTATTTGAGCCAATTTTTTAACATATTAATGATCTGTTTGAGATACTAAGGAATGGAAATAAGTCCTAAGAATTTAAAATTAAAATTGCATTAAAATTAGTATAGTATATAGAACCTATATGATATTCATCTATGGAAAAAAATAGGGCTATATTTTACCCAGAACTAGTTTCACCAATAGGATGGATATGAACTCAGGTGTGGGAAGGTCCTCATCCCTACTACTTTGTTCCTTCTACACACTACCTTCTATGGTTTATTTTGCCATGCTCCCTGCTGTTTTTATCAAAAATATATTTACAAGTGATAATATGCTAATAGTATGTTACTATGCTAAAACTCCCCCAAAGGGTCAAGTGGACCCAAGAGCACATGTCCTAAGTCAAGGCTGTAGAGTAAAGCAGATCTTTGAAAACCTGCCTCCTTCACATACCAGCTCAGTGACCTTGGACAAACTCCTTAACCTCTTTGTACTTAGTTCTTCAACTATGAGAACAGGACTATCCACCTTGTCAGGTTTTATTACTATGAAGATTAAATAAACAAATAAAACATTGATTGCAAATCTCTAGCAGAGTACTTGACCCTATAGTTCTGGAAAATAATGGAACTTTTATTTTTCGATCCATCATTCACTCCCTAGTAAGAACTGTCTAACCAAAGTCTCTTTCTAACACGTAGCTAAGAGCTAAGATCTCAAAAATAAGAAAATTAAAACAAAAATAAGGAAAACTATAGTAGAAAAGAAATCAAAAAATTGGAAATTATTAATCAAGCTATGACTGAATTATCAAAATTAAACCAATCTACTTGTGCACAAATCTTAGTTCCTAATCAACTTTCTAGTCAAAGTATGAAGCTAAGTTTTTGATGTCTAATACTTCCTCCTATATGCTATCAAAAGGGCCAAAGTTTCCATTTATAACTGGTGTTTATAAGTGAGAAATCAGTCTGTTCATCTAGCCATTGTTTTTAAGTAGTTTATGTTGTTTTCCAGAAAAGATATTTTTCTACAGTGTGTAGAAAAGTTTCTTGCAGAACTGCATTAGGTAGAAGAAATGAAAGACTTAAGGTGAGGATACTATAGGACCATGAGGTAAGGCTTTCTCTATCTGAGTTCTACTCCATGGCCTACTTACCAGACTACTACTCCACTTGCTCACCTGCAAATCCCTGACCCAGTAGAATGGACTAAAGATTACACTAAAGACATGGATCAACAGAACTCTGTCCCAGAGTGTCTAGGGTATGAAATTGGCTCCTAGAGCTGAGTTCAATTATGTAGATTAGTCCCACAGATGATTTCAGTCTCTGTTCATCTAGTTTCTATTGCCTCTTGTGATATGTGCAGTTGTAGCAAATTTAATATTCATGGTAATTAATTTTTGTTGTTCACATAGCCATAAAGTCATCCCCACTGGTACAGTAAGCCAGAGGGAAAGAAACTATCTGGAGGAAAATTAAAAATTTGTCATTTCTAATTTTTAACTATTGAAATTAGTAAGTGGCATATTGGTATTCCTGAAAGAATTCGATGAATTTCTTTTTTCTTGCTCTGTCTCACAACTGATCCAGATGGAGAGCTACGTTATGTAAAGAACACATTACATTTCTAACCTAACTTTTAAGGTATGAAGGTCTCCCCAAGAAAATGTGCCCCCAGCATCTAGAGGAAATCCATTCAACTCCAGCCTTCCATGCAGAGGCAACCCCTGCAGGGAAATGTAGATATTGTCCAACATGGTATCCACATCAGAAACCAGAATGTGCTCTGTGCTGATGATGCACTGGCCTCCCTCAGCCACTCTCAGAGGGTTAGTGGATACCTAGAAAGAAGGAAGAAACATTCAAAGCCTTATTCCATGAGGTACCTCTGCAGACAGAACTCATTGGATCACCATGAAACTTCCAGTACCATCTTCATATGTCTACTAAATTTTCAGGAGTATGGTTCAGGGACAAATTCAAAACTGGAGTTTGGGGATGAAAAATATATTTAACTATTAATGTTCCCAATTCCAAGTGTTGATGTACACAAAGAAGCAAGACAGATCTATAAACCTGAAAGTATCTACATTTTATTTATCCCAGAGCCTGTATCATAGAATCAGCAAATTGTTGACTACATAGAGTTCTGACTTAGGGAAATAATAACTTTCATCCTGATCATTTCAATCATTGTTTGACACATATCCACCTCAGTCTACAACATAAACAAAACCTCTGCTAAATTCTCCTAAAGGAAAGAATCCATCTCCTTTTTTTCACCCTAAAACTTCTTGAAGACTTGTGAAACGTATTAAAGCTTCTTTTGTGTTATTTTGAAATTAAGATTGGAAATTTAAGATTCCATGGAAAATAGATTCATTTAAACATTAGACTTAAATATCAAAGCCACAAATACAACTTTAAATAAGGGAAAAACCCAAGGCTCAACTGACTAATAATTCATTTGTAAGTAAAAAAAAATCAAGTTAGAATGGCTTAGAATATTTTATCACCACACTAGGAGAGGGCAAGAAGTGTCCTATGATCAAATCAGTCTAGAAAACACAGACAATATCCTCACCCTGGAGGTTTATAAGGCACATATGCATGTTCAAGGCTTTGACACTTAAGGTAGGAAAACCTGTTAACTTTGCTTAACCTAATTTTTTTCAAATTGGTAATACTACCCAGAAGCAAGAGCAAGAAGATGAATTTGAGATATGAAATCATGGGCTCCAAGGTCCCTGCAGATGGTCTGAGGTGATTGCTGTGCCAATTTGAGGACACCATGTTCTCCTAGGGAGAAATTGCTCTCCTCAGAGCAGCTGCCACTCCCCAAGAGTAGAATGTTCCCTAAGGACAGAGTTGGTAAAAGGCAGGGAGGAGCAGGGAGAGACACAGCCAGGCAGATGGAAAGGAAGCAAGATGAAGCAGAGGGCTCGGCTGCAGGGTCCACTCTCTCCTCCTGCACCTGTGCTAAGTGCTGGGCAGAGCTCCATTCCAAGGCACCAGGGGCACTAGAGGATGTCCTAAAGGGTCATGGAAACTATGAGAGTGCCATAGAGGTGGCTGTCTTCTATTTTATCACCAGAAAAAAAAAACAAAACAAAACATAAAATGATAGACTTTTCTCTCTACAATCACCCCCACCCCAACCTTTCCAAGTGTCTCATTTTACCAAACCTATATTTTCACTGTAGGTGGGAGGAAGAAAGGGAGCTCTCACTCAGGGTATTACCTTTAATCAAGGTCTGCATTTGCCAGCCTCACTTTCCTGAGTAGGTTACAAATAAATATCTCAAGATGACAATGCTTCATAAAATATAATTTATACGTTAGATGATCTTTCAAATCTCTCTTGTAGATAAAACTTCAAAAAAATAAAAACATGAGATTAATTTCCCCCTCCTCACTAATCATTAACCTCTCAGGCCCAGTTCTCAGAGGCTGGGGACTTCAAGTTAGCATGGGGTCAGTTTCCCCCAATGATCATCACTCAACTTGTCTTTATGTGGTGTTTTTTCTTTTTAATTTTTTTGAAGTTGTGGACACAATACCTTTATTTTCTTTATTCATTTTTATGAGGTGCTGATGATTGAACCCAGTGCCTCACACATGCAAGGCAAGTGCCCTACCACTGAGCCACAACCCCAGCCCTTTATGTGTTTTTTTCATATCAGAGACCCATTCCTGTGGCTGGTTCCACTGAAACTACAACTTTAATTTTATTTCTAATATCCTTTTTCTTTGAAGCTCTGTGTCATTTGATCCATGTGCCACATATAAAAGAGAGAAAGCACTATGCCATTTTAGACCCAAGTCCTCCCAATTATTCTCTCTGCTTTCAAATGAAGGTAACTTTTCCCTTTGGCCTTTATAGATTCCTCCACACCTCATCCTTCTCTTTCAAAAGGCCTGGATTCCTTTGCATAAAAGATTATTTCCCCATGATTATGCTGAAAAAAGTTTTGGCTTCTTCAGATGCTAGGCTATTTCAGGGCCTATATCTCATACACAGAAAGGGGCACTTCAACTAAACTCTAACTAACGTTAGCTCCACAGACATTCCAAACCATTTTCATCACAAGGAATTTGATCTGGTCCCTGAGGGAGAAGTTATAAAAGGATGGAGCTTGTTTAGATTCCTCAGTTTGAACACTTCCATAGCCTTCTATCAAAGATTGCAAGCTCACCAACCTGAGAAGTCAGGTCAGTGATTTAAGTGAGTATGGTAAGTTGATAAGGATGCTGGTGGTTAGGCTCAGTATTGCTAGAGCTTCCAGAGGTTCAAGAGGAACCCCAAGTCAGAATTGATAGGAAATCTTTTTGTTTTTAAATGTTGCAACTTATTATTTTAAAATACAGTTTAGATCCATCAGAAAACTTTTGCATATCGGACAGCCCCCCTCCCCCCACCCCCCCGCAGTCCTCAGAGAAGCCCTCTGTTCCACAACCTCAGGCTCATGTAGAGATGGTGAGGAGAGACCACGAAAAAGAACAGCAGGATTGGCTGTATTTCAGGCCAGTACCTGGGAAGGGTGACCTCTCTCCTTAGGGAACAGGTTTGGGTAGGCTCTGGGCCCCTCTGGTTTGTAATCCATGGGAAATGCTCCTTTGTCCTTCCACTTGTAGGGGGAAATAAACCAAATAATAGCTTCACTAATTAAGTATAGCATTCTGACAGCAGAGAGTGGACAGGGTACAGGAAAAACTCTCAGTATGAAACAGTCTCACAGAGAAGACCCACAAGGTAGCATTGCCTTTGCAGTTGGGTTTTAATGAAAGACCCAAGTCCTTCAAGACTTACATAAACATTGGGCAGTGGGATAGAGTAGAACAAAAGGGTCCATCTTAATTCATTTTGGAAAATTAAAGAGCCTCTTTGGATTACACAACAGCATACTTGGCCTGCGGTGAGAGCAAATAAGCCCTTCTGGTTGCTAAGAGACCCATAATTTAATCCCCTTCCCCTGATCTACATGTGAAGCCCAGCAGAAAGAAAAAGAAATGAAAGCGATTTTGATAAGCTTTGAAAATAATGCCAAATCCAGCAACGAGAAAATCTTACCTTTTGGATGGAAAGTTCCACAGGAGGTGAAAGAGTCCCCTCCCCCTGCTTTTTTTCCTATACTGCAGCTGCAAAATTAAAAAGTTTGTCTTTTCTTTCTTTCCCTCCTTCCATTCTCCATATCAAACATTGTGCATACCTCAGGAACTTGATTGTCCACTGGGAGAATTGTAATGTTAAAGCAGATCCCATGCAGAGTGCCACCATGCTGGTTACTGATGGAAAAGGTGAACTGGACATGTCGGAGATGAGGACCTATATCTTGCATGGGTGGCATGTAGGCCACTTTCATATAGTTCACAGCATGCTGCAAAGCAAATTGAGAATGGACATATGAGTATTGATTTGCAAGGATCAGAAATCTGTGTCCAAGAAAATCATCATGTTAACTGACATTGAATACTGTAAATACCATCACCAATTTAAAGATTCTCAAGAGTTCTATGTAATAAATCACATTTTCTATACATAAGGAAGAAAAATGAAAAAGAGATTAAAATGTCTAGTGCTTAAAACCAGCCAGCTCTATAAAAGGAAGGAGACTAGGGTGAAATACTAGGATGAAACACCTCTGCCTTCTGGTAATTGTGTGATATGGGTCCAGCTGCTTAAATGTGTTAGGCCTATTTTTTTTATTTGTGAAATAAAAAAAAAAAGTACTTACCACATGGGGTTCACATACTCATTTACAACCTCTAACTATGAGGAGATTAAGCCTAATTAGCTCCAAACCACAGAAGTATCTGCTGCCTAAGCACTCATCACCATTACTGTGACCCCCATAGGATCATCAGAGTAGAGTCCATAGGTGAACACACAGTGAAGGATTTTGGAAGGTGGTTAAGTATTCTGAAATGAATTGTGCCCCCTTCATCACCCTGCCAAAATCAGATATGCTGAAGTCCCAATCCTTCCTACCTCCAAGTGTGAACTTATTTGGAAATAGTGTCATTATGTATGTAATTAGATAAGATGGGGCCATCCCAGGGTAGGGTGGACCCTTAATCCAACGTATCTGTTGTCCTTGTGATAGGAGGAGAGAAAGACACAGGGAGTCATGTGATAACAGAGGCATGAGAGTAACATATCTCCAGGCCAAGGAGAACCAAAGATTGCAGGCAAACTGCCAGAAGTTAAAAAGAAGCAAGGAAAGATTGCCCTAAAGGGTTTCAGAAGGAGCACCACCCGGCCAGTATTATGATTCCAGAACTGTGGCTTCCAAAGCTGGGAGGAAATAAGTCTCATAGCTTTACACCACTCAATTGGTGGTATGTTGTCATGACAGCCCTAGGACACTAATGAACGAAAAACAGTGAGTGAAGTGAATTTGGTGGAATAAAAATTCAGGCGTGGGGGATCCCAAATCAGAGTCTTGCTGCTGACAAAATAGAGGGGATGGGGAGCTGTATTAAATTATGACAAGATTCTAAAATCATACCCAACCTGATAAAGCACTTTCAAATAGATGTCACATGCTTAGTAGAAACGTGCAAGCAGAATGAATAAAAAACCTCAAGCATTTGTGGCAGATGTCAAGAGCCAACATCCTCAGGTGCGACACTAAGCATGTCATATCTTCTCAGAGGACACATCATGTGGTTCAACATTATAGCAAATCATCATACCTGAGTAAATGACCTCAGCCCCAGGGCTGTAGGATTTTTGGTTAGCTTTGGTATGCTGTCCACCATGAATAATTTCCCAGCATCCAAATATCTAAAGAGAAATACAGGAAAGAATATATCAGCTAATTTTCCAGCTAAGAAAGGTGAAGTCAGATGGCTAATACCAAATTTTCAAAAACTAAAAGACCTTATCATGAGAAGAAATAAAGTAATAAAGTGTTCCATCTTTATATTCCCTTCTTATGTTAGGGGCTACTAGCCTTAGGTCCAGTATCACCAATTCCGCCCTCATCATGATTGCAGAAAGTATGTACAAAATTTTTTGCTTTACCATCATGAAAGGGAATCATTATCCTAAACATTCTAAAATTTTTCCTTGTTACCATGTATACAGTACCAGCCTAAAATATATTCATACTACTTTTCTGGATTGAGATCATAGAATATGATAATTTCATGGCCTGTAATATCTAAAAAAATAATGTTATGAAGACCTTAATACATTTTACCAGAAAGAAAAATCAATATTATTTTTAGAAAATAGGAATTGAAGACCATTTTCAGCTACCTATGCTGAAAACAATGCAAGCACTTACTAAGGAATAAGACTTTTAAAGGGAGGTATGATACAAGTTTGAGGCAAAAGTAAATGCTAAATTGGATATAAGTTCCCACTGGCCAACAAAGCAACTGAATCATAGTACTACTATATATGGACACTTTTGATTGTCCATCCCCAGTAGACCATATGATGACTTTTCAGATATACCTGTCATTGAAAGAGAAACAGGGAGGAGTGGTTATTGTGTAGAGCAGCTCCCTATCATAAGATTCTGTATCTAGGAAATGTAGATGCTTCTTCGTTATGTAGGCCACCTCCGTTTCCTTGACAACCAAATGCCGAGAAACCCCAGGAGCCTCTTTTGGAAGCTGGTCATCCACTGGAGTGATATGGATGGTCACCACCTGGAATGAAAATACACTATTCACTTAGAAAACACCAAAGAGGATGTCCCACAACCACCCAGTCACAGTTAAGATGACATTCAAAAACTGTCATTGATAATACACTTCTGTCAAATGATTCAGGAGCTACTAAGGAGGTGACCTAAAAATGGAACATCCTTTACTCATTGGATATTGTATTCTAAAAATATAATTATCACAATTATAGTTAATTCAATCAGAAGGGCTATAGAAAGGGCATAGAAAGCACAAAATGGGATCCTGATTTTGTTTTCCATCTCCCAACAATCTATGCTTTCTCTGATACTTCCTACTACTCAATCATTGGTCCTAACAACATTAGCATACCTCTTGATTCCTCCTTCTCCACTCACATTCAACACATCACCAAGATTCTACTTGTAAAATCTCCCTTAGAGAAACTACCCCAACCTGCAGGTGTCATTCCTACTTACACTGGCCTAGATCTTACCACTTCTTCCTTGACTGCTCCAGTCTTCTGTCAGCCCTAACTCTAATCACTGATCTAGGTTTTTCATATCTCTAGTGTTATCTTTTAAAAATACAAGTCAAACCTCCTTAAAAATCTTAAACAAGCACCAAGGAAATATAGAAGTATTCAAAATCCTTAGCCTGGCATTCGAGATCCTTCACACATCCTCTATTTTCAACTTTATTTTTACCCAACTTTCAACAATAATTCAGCACTCTAGTTGTACACAGTGGTGGACCATGTCTAGCCCCTCAATGACATGTCTATGTTTTGTATCATTTTTCTTCAATCTACTACACTCTGCTCTTGCTTTCTTTAGCAATCTGTCTTTATCGCCCTTAGAGGAGGCTCTTCTTCAAAACACCCTTCAATTTCTTTCTTTCTTTTTTTTTTTTTTGGAAGCCACAGACAGAATTTATTAGATTTTGCAGAAGCATGAGATAATGTACCACAAAATAGTTTGCTTTTACAACCTAAAGTATGGTAGGAAGTTGTCAATGCACAGTGTAGTCAGCAAAAAGAGAAACAGAGCAGTTTCACTTTTTTTTTTTTAAAGGTGATGGATGACACCTGCGCTTGCCTTCAATTTCTCAGTTGGAATTAATTGTATCTGAATTTTGTCTTAAACATTCTAAAAATATTTTCTTGTATTGATGTATATAGTACCAGCCTAAAGTATCCCTTGCTACAGTTTTAATTTTTGTGTCCCTTCAAAAATTAATGTTGAAACTTAATCTCCAATGCAACTGTGTGAAGAGGTGGGGCTTTCATGAGGCAAATGGGTCAGAAGGGCTCTGCCATGGCTTAGTGCCTTATGAAAAGGCTTGAGGGCATGAATTCATCCCTCCATCCTTTCTGCTTTGTAAAGACGCAGCATTCACCCTCTCCAAAGGATGCAGCAACAAGGAGCCATCTTAGAAGCAGAGAGCAGCCCTCACCAGATACAGAACCTGCTGGTGCCTGAATCCTGAACTTTCCATCCAGAATTGTGAGGATTATGTTTCTAGTGTTTATTAATTACCCATTCTCAGATATTTTGTTATAGCATTATGAACATGACTAAGACATCATTTAAATAACATACTTATGTCATCATCTTGTATTATCTTTTTCATAGACTGAAAATTCCATGAGGGCAGGATCGTGGTAGAGTACAAACTACATTAAATGAAACAGTAAGCATTTAAAGTCCTTAGTGTGCTGTTTACATACTAGCAGTTAATTGACCTTGAACATGTTACTCAACTTTTTTGCTGTCAATTTTCTTATTTCTAAGTTAAGCTAAATATTAACCTCACAAAATTCTACAAAGATCAAATATCATTATGTAGTTCAGATGTCTGGCATGTGGGTAGATGCTCAATGAATATTACACTCATCTCTGTATCTCCACAACATCTTGCACAATACCTTGTGGAGAGGAAGCATTTCATCAACGACGCTAACTGAATCAGTCAACAGACCCTGTTGGTGATTTTAAGCAGTCTAAACCACACTCACAGGTTTAGGTCATGCTAGATAGTAAGAAGAAATGGCCAAGCTGCTTTTGACATCACCATTAACTCTTTAGAGTAACCCATGCTTGGTTACAAGAACGCTGTGACTTCCTCCCTCTGGAAATGGCACACTGCATATTGCTTAACATTGTGGGTCTTTTCACATTCTGCCACATGAAAATAGTCTTACCTTGGTTTTGATTTATTTTGATGTTGTCATTGAAGCACAGATCAGCAATGACAATTTTGTCTATAACAATGGTGTTTACAATACCAATTTGAAAATGAAGATAATTCCCTTTTAGACTAAGATGAAAATCAGAAACTAAAATATGATTAAGCTTTTGTTATGCTATAAAAAGACCTAAACATCAGTCACAACCTATAAGTTGTGTTCCCTGGCAGAGATCATTTAACCCCTTGGGGACTCAATTTTCTTCCTTTTTCTGTACATTAGACAATAACAATGGCTTTTATTATGAGATATATTGTCAGGATCAAATAAGACAGCAGCACAGTGAGTACTAGTACTTAGTAGGTGCTCACAAAGTTAATTCCTTGTCTATATCCTTTCGTTATTTTTACAAAAGCTTACAGATGTTTACTATCCATTATGAAGCATTTTTGATAATTAAAAACTAAAGCCGGTTTATCAAAATAAAGGAACACAATGATAGTCATTTCTCTAGTCTCCTGGAATCTGTGTCATGATTTTTTTCTCTAATTATAGTATTTTGCTAATCTACAAAGTTCAGAAATTCTCTATGGGACCTCCCAGCCATACTGTGGATCAGTGAGTCCCCACTTAATTGAAAAACTGGATTTAATAAGGAAACAATAGTTATTGTGCCTTCAAAGAGACCATTTTCCATGCTAATTTATTCTCCGACGTATTCTTTATGTAAAAAGAATGTACAACCAGGCTTTTTTATACCCCTGTAGTAATTCTTGGTGGGCACATTTTTCAACATGCTTTATGATTGCCTAAGTTGATGTTTCTTTAAATATTTATGCATGTTCAAACAATTATTGTGTGTGTGTCTGTGGGTGACAAAAATCCTATTTTAACAAAATCCACAGAGAAATAAAGCATTCTCTTTGTACTGAAATCTGGTTGTAACAAAAGACATTATTAAACACCCATTCCCAGGCAAAGAGTGGAGAACTAGTGCTCAAGCCGATCACTAGGCCATTTGCCCGATATATTCCCCCAACTCCCTGCAGTCCACTTATAGCCACAAGCACACACAGACTTGTAAGGAACCTGAACATAATCAGAAAGTGAAAAATCAGTATTCAAAATGACATAGTCTGACCTTGGCCTCAAATTCAGGCTCCAATATAATATTCCATCAGCTGGCACCTGACTTGCTTGTAGGCCTGAATTCTTGATCCTTCCTCTGCCCTAAGCTCTGATTCCTGCCTGATTGTTATTTTGCTTCTTCTTTTGAGAATATTCAGAATCATTTCTCACTCTTGTGAACTACTTCCAAGGTCTTTTGCCCGCCCTTCTAGATATAGTAGTTTGTGCCAAGTTTTTAGGGAAATACACTAGGTGTTTTTATTAACAGGGTGACTTTAAAATGCTGTTGAGATAGACATGTAGTGGTGTCAAATGAAGCTGAGGACATAGACAAGTGTAAGCTAGAGAAATAGTCATCCTCTGGTATCTGCAGGGAATAGGCTCCTGGACCCCTCATGGAAGACAAATCTGTGGATGTTCAAGTCCCTTATATAAAATTGAATGGTATTTTCGTAAAACTTAGGCATATCCTCCCATAAGCTTCACATCATTTCTAGATTTCTTATCATATCTAATATGATATAAATGTTATACAAATACTAGTAGTATAGTATTGTTTAGAGAATAATAATGAGGAAAAAATGGTCTATATTTTCAGTACAGATCCAATTCTTTTTCTAATATTCTCTATCTTTAGTTGGCTGAATTTGTGAATGCAAAACAGACAGACAGCCAACTTATTTGGGAACCAGAGGATACGTGGTACATAAAGACAGAACAAATGCGTAGACTTGTCTGTCTCTTAAAATCAGTTAAGAAGGAAGTAGGGCTGGAACACTGATGCATGCAGGTAAACCCTGCAACTTGGGAAGCTGAGGCAGGAGGATAGCCAATTCCAGGCAGCCTCAGCAACTTGGCAAATCTCTCACTTAGAGAGACACTGTCTCAAAATAAAATAAAAAGGCTGGGGATTTAGCTCAGTGGTAAAGTGCCCCTGGATTCTATCCCTAGTACTACCAAAAAAAAATAATTATTATATTTATATATATAAATTATATATATGTATATACATAATACATATATACACACACATATATATATAAAATAATTTAAAGGAAGCAGATGAAAATGTGGTTATGACCTCTTTAAAAATTTATCCATCATAGGGATAAACTTATATAAGCAGATCTACAAAGTTTAGTCTGATTTATTTGACCAGATTTAGAAATAATTCCCTTTGATTGTTTCTATTACCTTGGACTTTACTGAAGAGAGATCTTACATTCATATTTGTGCATATAACACAATGATGTATAAAATATGCAGCAACAAAAGAAGATAAAAGAAGTCAGCAGGGTATGGTGGTGCACACTTGTAATCCCAGCGCTCAGGAGGCTGAAGGAGGATCATAAATTCAAAGCCAGCCTCAACAATTTAACAAGGTCCTGAGCAAATCAGCAAGATCCTGTCTCAAAATAAAAAGTGAAAAATAAAAAGGCTGGGGATGTGGCTCAGTGGTTAAGCATCCCTGGGTTCAATCCCTGGTACCAAAAAAGGAAAAGGAGAAGTCCTAAAGATTTACTTTTAAAAAGACACAGAGTCTTCTGAAAGTAATATGGTGTTCTAACTCAGGTTGAATAGATACAAAGGATTAAGAAATAAATCCTATTAATAATTTCCATTTTTAACTTATCAAGGCAATTAAGGAATCAAAAAAATTTAAAAAAGAAATGCAGTATAATACAGTGATGAAAAGAAAGGGTTGTTA